CACGACAGAACTCAGCATCCCCCAATGCTTACCGGCTTAACAAGCTTGCTTTAATAATCCCCCCCCAAGGATTTGTTCCGGCGCTGGGTCCAAAAAGATTTTTTTGGGGGAGCCCAGGTTGTAATAATTAATTGGATTAAATTGGGACGTTCCCCTTATACTAGCCGTCATGTATAATCCCTACGAAGGACTGTTAGTATAAGGGGGAGCATCCCAACTAATCAACCTTGAGGGGGGCCTCTTCTGGGCTTTCTCGGGACCTCCTCTGGACCTCTTTGTCTCTTGGGCTGCTCTGTCCTACGAATTGCTTAAGAACCCCCCCCGCAAAAAAAACTCAAAATGTTCTTCCTTAAAAGGGTAATATTATGGGGATTATTTTCATTTTTTGTTTTTTGGGGGGTTCTTTCGCAAATGGTAGTGTCTGCAGTCGTTGCAGGTGGATCCGGCCCTAAAGCCCAGCGATACTACCTTACTACCTCAACCAGCTCCGGCACTTTCTAGGATTGCCTCTGCTGAAGTCTAGCACTCTCAGCCATACAGAAGAGTTTGTGCAAGAAATTCTATCAAGACCGTATTTGGGAAATTCTCCCGGAACACCTTCCGGTATTGACACCCCCTTTTTTGCAGAAAGATCGGATGTTTGGGTCTCAACAACCTAACATAATGGAAATCGTTCACGAAACAAACCAAACACCCAGCCCGAAAACTTTGCGGCATTGACACCCGGTTTTTAGGTGTGTGACCTGAACATTAGTCCGAACGTGCGGCAGATGAGATATCACTCACCCAGCGAGCATTTCACGCAGGCGTCTGCACATGTTGGTTTCCCAAATAAAGGATACCTTATAGGGGGCCTTATTATAAGGGAATCCTCCTACTTGGGAGTCTAGATTCGGGAGTCCCTTATTAACGTAGACACCCTACACCCTAAACCCTAAACCCTAAACCCTAAACCCCAAAACAAATGCAAAACAAATCCTGCCCCGAGGATTGTCCAAGCCGAGCTTGAGAAACTGGCTGCTCAGGGCGCTGGGGGCGTGCAGCCGGCTAGTTGAAAGCCAAGCCTTAGGTCTTAGGTCTTAGGGGTTAGGGGTTGGGGTTTAGGGTTTAGGGTTTAGGGTTTAGGGTTTAGGGTTTAGGGTTTAGGGTTTAGGGTTTAGGGTTTAGGGTTTAGGGTTTAGGGTTTAGGGTTTAGGGGGTGTACGGTTTGGGGTTTAGGGTGGGTTTCGAGGCGCTTGTGGCTCAGAGACAGCAGGAAGCCCCAAAAGCTTTGTTAGGGAAAGATGTCAGTTCAGGGCTGACGTGCAACCACCGATGTTTGCCGAATCTTGTTGCCAGACTGGATTTGAAGCCCCAGCAGACGCCGTGCTTTGCTCAGTGGTGCCTTTTCTGGTGTCGCCCTAAACCCTAAACCCTAAACCCTACACCCTAAACCCTAAACCCGCGCTCACAAGACACACTCATCACTGGCGGCTCTTCCACAGTCCCCATGCTTGCGCGTGGCCATGTGCGGGACACTTTGAGGTTCATGGTACTTATTAACCAATGATAACTGTACTTATACCTGTACTTATAACCACATTACCGCACTTCAGGGGCTGATAAGTGGGTTATAAGTAAGTACAGTCATGAATGGTTAAATGGTTAATAAGTACCATGAACCTCCAAGATATGCTATGTTATGGGCCTTCTTGTGTATGCGCAGGTATACCCGAAACCCTAAACCCTAAACCCCAAACCCCAAACCCCAAACCCCAAACCCCAAACCCCAAACCCTAAACCCTAAACCCTAAACTCTAAACCCTAAACCCTAAACCCTAAGGCTCCGTGAAACCCTCATGTAGGCAACCCTGTCGAAGCGACTGCTGCTTGCAGGATTTCCAAGAGGCCAAGCGATTCGAGGCTGGGGTTTAGGGTTTAGGGTTTAGGGTTTAGGGTTGCTTCGGCAGTCTGCGGGAACTCGCTGGAACGCGATGCTTGCAACCCTGCAACCAATGTCGCTATTGATTCCGGGGCTCGGGAACGCGAGACTTCCACCACCAAGGAGGCTGTTTCACTTCAGACACAGACGTCCTGTAATATAGGGGCCTTAATAATTTGAATAGGGTTTTGGGGGGTTCCTACAGTAGAATTATACAGGGACCCTAAGGGACTACCATTAGCAGTTATTCCGACCGCTATTTTGGGTGTTAGGGCTCCTGTCATGTGACAGTGATGAAACCCTAAACCCTAGACCCTAAACCCTAAACTAAAAACAAATCCTAAACCCTAAAGCCTAAAGCCTAAACCCTAAACGAAAAGAAACCTAAAGCCTAAACCCTAAACCCACTGTTGCTGACGCTGCAGATGGCCAACTCCTCCCGTGAGCAGCAGGGGCAGCGACAGGCATTTCCACGGGCATGCTCTTTGCTCTGTCATAGTTGGGTAACATTTTACATTTTTACGGGTACTTAAACCCAATAAGGAATATAGATTTAAGTTTTTAAAATATTATCCCAACCATGGCCTAGTTTGGGGTTTCCCTAAGTTTCCCTAAGCCTTTATAATCACAAGCCACCCGAAAACTCACACATCGTAAGGGTTATAGGCGGCTGGAGGCAGGAAATGGAGCTGCAGATGGCACCCTAAACCCTAAACCCTAAACCCTAAACCCTGAACCCTGAACCCTAAACCCTAAACCCTAAACCCTAAACCCTGAGACCTCCTGGAAGGTGACGTGGAAGGAATGGCGGGCCACGCAGCAACGCATCGTCGGGCCTTCAGAGTTCAGGATGGGGATATGTCACGAACACATCATGAAATAACATAGGTAATTCATCATAGAGACATACATCATGAGAACATCATGAAGGCATAGAAATATTGCATAATTAAGCTGCATAAATTCAGACAGTTGGAAATCTTTGTGTGCATATCTCCATCTTTCTTCATGCAGTCATGCACATGAGCCGGACACGCAGGAACCGGTGAGGCTTAGGAGCAACTAGGAGCGGTTTCGAAGTTGGTCGACACTGAGAAACAGGACGCCTCAGATGATCAGAACGAGAAGGGCGGGGGGCTTGCACGAACCTGCGCGAAATAGCCATGAGGCCACAGCAGCCAGCTTTGCCCATGCCTGGCGGAAACGCTTGATGGAGGCCATGGTGCGGATCAACAGATTTTCGCTGTTGTTGGAGTTTTTGCTCCTGCGCATCCCATGCTTGGAGATTCATGGTACTTATTCACCAATTACAACTGTACTTATAGCGGTACTTATAACGGTACTTATAACCATATTAGGGCACTTAAGGGGCTTCTCAGTGGGTTAAAAGTACAGTTATAAATGGTTAATAAGTACCATGAACCTCCAAGTGTGAGTACTGTAGGTGACGAAATGCGTCACGCAGGACGAAGGACCTGACGTTGCTGATGTCATCAGGATATCAGGATGTCGTTTTGCATCCTTGCGGGCAAGTCGAAGAGCTCTTTCTGCAGGAGACGTGGCCGGCCGAGCCTCTATGACAAAGCTAGTTGTCCACGTCTTAGCTTTAGGGTTTAGGGTTTAGGGTTGCTAGTTGTCCACGGCTTAGCTTGTCGGCTTGAGCACCACCACAGGTGGCGTCAGAGACTGCCCCCTTAAGGATGGTTTGGCAAGCAAGGCCTGCCCGAAGAGGCGCGCCTGTCTCAAATTTACTATTAATATCATTTATAATCTGACTTCTCTCAAATTTAGTACTAATATCATTAATAATCTGACTTCTTTGAGTTAAATCATAATTGTAAACGCTTGCGCGCGCGCCGCCTCGGCAGCCGGGCCTGCCCAGAGCATGCAGCATGTGGAGATGACGGCAAACTCCGGCTTGACTTAGGAAGGGGGAGGGGGGGGGGGCCGGGGCTGCTCCAAGCGACACGGTTTAGGGTTTAGGGGTTAGGGTTCGTTGCTCAAAAAAAGGGGTTAGGGTTTAGGGTTTAGGGTTGAAGCCACAGGGAGGGGGGGGGGGGGTGGTGTCACAAAGTTCTGCATGGGGGGAAGGGTTGGGTTAGGGGGATCCGGGTCTGCTTTGTTCCAGACGCTTCTCGGCAGGAAGCCGAGGCGAATAGTTTTTTGCCAACCCTAAGGCCAAGGCGACAGAGTTGTGTGCTTTCAAGAAGTCCCGAAGTGTTCAGCTCGTTCAGCTGCGTCCTTGGCAACCAGTATGTCGTGCATCTTGTTCAGGGATCCAGCGGGGGAGATTGTGTTGGCCGAAGAGCAGGCCCGGCATCCACTGCATCCACAGCAATGAGCTCGGAACTTGCTTCTTCAGTTGTGGAGGCTCTCGCGCGTCCTATGGATCTGAGTGCTGCAGGACAACTTCGGTGCAAGACATGGCAAGAATGCGTAAGCAGGGGCTTAACGTCGGAAGGCTTTCACAGGGGCTGCTTGTTGTTGCCCCAAAGCTGCCCACCTGGAGACCCTGAGACAAATTCGGGACACGTCTCGTTGAGTGACCAATGGGTTAGAGAACCTTCACTTGCCGAGAACTGTTGCTCAGAAGGCAGGGGCATTGGGCATGGCATGATGGGCAACTGTGGGCAAGTTGACGTCTTTGTTGAATTGGCACGGAATGTTGTGTCCGTGTCTGCGTTCGCACAAGTGTAGGGCTGCGGCACACGCCAGGAATCCGCGGAAACGAGGGCTCGGGCGTGCAGTTTTTGCTTCCCGGCCCGTTCTCGCACTCAGCTCTTGCACCAAGGTCTTATCGGGCTCAGGGTTTACCATCTGGCAGTGGAGCGGCATGGGCACCTGCAGAATGACCATGCCCCATGAGTATCACAATGATTCCGAACCCTTCGGCTCGATACCCTCGGTGCATGCATCACACCAGGGCAGAAGGCGGACCCTGCAATTCTTGATTTGTTCTTGCAGGGCTGCGAGATGCAGAGGCTCCCAGCGCCTCTCAGCCATTGAAATTGCGTCCCACAAGAAGGTGGAAGCACGAAGCATTGGTAACAGCCTGCTTTTTACCCCAAAAGCGGGCGCCATGGAGACCCGCGTCCGGGAGTTGCTCAACCAGCTTTGCCTGGAGTTTGACGAGCAGACGGCTGAGCTGCGCAAGCTCCGGCAGGAAGTGCAGAGGTTGGGGGGCGTCCCTCGGCAACTCTTAGAAAATAGGTGAGTCAAGCAACGTCTGACCCTAAACCCTAAACCCCCTAAACCCTAAACCCTACAGTGCTGAGGATCCGGGGATGGCGCAGGCGATGCAATCGGCTCCATGTGTGCCACTTCCAGGCTGCTTGCGTGACTTTCTATGGGGGGGTTTACGAACGTAGGGGACCCCTAAAATACCTGGAGGTTCGTGGTACTGGGTTTAGGGTTTAGGGTTTAGGGTTTAGGGCTACTTGGAGGTTCATGGTACTTATTAACCAATCATAAGTGTACTTACAACACTCTTACAACCCACTCATAAGGCCCACTTGGTTCATAAGTACCATGAACGTCCAAGTAGATCCCCCCAAATAGTAGGATCCCCTATGTAACAGGACCCCCCAAGAAGGCACCCCCCCCCCATAATATCGTAAACACTCTTAGTATGTCCAAGAGATGGACCGGCACGATGTGTCTTTTCCGTGTTTCGATGCATCTAGGTGTTCGATCTGTTGCTTCGTCTGTTGTCGCTGATGACTTCTTACGATAAGACCCATTGTAGGATTCTTAGGTAATCTACAAGAAAGTCGTTTGAGTAAGTGATGGGGCGTTTTTCGAAGCAGTGTTTCTGGTGCCATGCTGCTGACCACGTGAATCATGCGCGCAGCTGAGTGAACCCTAAACCCTAAACCCTAAACCCTAGACCCTAGACCCTAGACCCTAGACCCTGAACCCTGAACCCTGAACCCTGAACCCTGAACCCTAAACCCTGAACCCTAAACCCTAAACCCTAAACCCTAAACCCTAAACCCTAAACCCTAAACCCCAACCACTGACAGGAGCAGCCCGATCAGGAACTTCATCGTGGGGAGCTGTGCTCCACAGTTCTGAGGGTGGCTGCAGGGCTGCAAGGGGGAGGGGTTTAGGGTTTAGGGTTTAGGGTTTAGGGTTTAGGGCACATGACATATACCGAGGTTTGACGCGACGATCTCATGCTGCACATGTGCTAAGGACGGAGTGCGGAGTTGCTTAGCTCCGGCTTGAGGCAAGCAGCCAGGGCTCCGGCGAAGAAGGCACCCCCCCTTTTTTTGTTGCATCTTTTGCAGCTGATTCTACTTGGCATCCGATGTGCATCCCAGTGCAAATGCAAGGTCGGCAGCGGGGTGTTCCTGTCCCTAAACCCATAAGCCCTAAACCCTAAACCCCTGAACCCCTGTCGAAGAAGGCTACTGGCAACATGTTGGGCTTGAGCCAGAACTTCATGAGCGACACGGAAAAGTATGACTTCGTCGACCCGATCAAGGTTTCCCGATCCTTAGGGTTTAGGGTTCAGGGTTTAGGGTTTTGTCGCAGCAGCCTTAGCCCAACAGCGTTGCCGTAGAGCCCTGCACAAGAGCTCCAGCATTCTAAACGGTATAAACCCTCATCCATCCTTACAAACCCTTATACAAGTCCTTTCAAGCCAAAACCCTTAACCGTAAGCCCTTAGCCCTTACAAGCCGTCAACCCTCAACCCTAAACACTAAACCCTAAACCCTAAACCCTAAACCCTAAACCCTAAACCCTAAATAACTTATAAGCCCTTTTTAAGTGCCTGTGCCAGGAGCTCCCGAAGCCGCCGGTGTCACGAGTTCCATCGGGAAGGCTAACCTCGGCACTGACCCGCCAAGTGAGCGCAACCTCGGAGGGAAACGAGGCGAGAGCCGAGGGTTGAGGGTTTAATCCGAGCACCTGTTTAATCAAACCCCCCATATTTAAAGAGATTTTTTTTACCCGGAAGCCTGCCGGAAGACTACTTTCCATTAGGGTGGATTTCGGCTGGAGACAACCGCCCACATTTAAAGAGTCTTTTTTGGGGGGGGTTCGCAAAATCTCATGGGTGGCCTTTTTTTGTCTTGTGTGCTGCAATTTCGATCTGTGAAACATCTGCGGCATCTGCGTTCTTATTGTTTGTTAATAGAGGAGAAACCATACGGGGCCATGGTCCAACTATTGCGGAACCCTGCCTTCCTTATTGTGGCGGGGGGGCCCCCCCACCCCAATTAAACAGGTGCTCGGATTAGGGTTTAGGGTTTAGGGCTTCGGCTCTGTGTCGCGTGTGTGTACCTCCCCCCCCCGGCCCCCATGGCCCCCCATGGCCCACCTCCCCGCCCCCAACCAAAACCCTCTTCCGAAGCCTACCGCCGAAAGCCTGCAACCCTAAACACATTCTAAGAACCCGAGGCACAACCTTGAGAACCTTGAGCCTTAAACCCACAGCGGGGGCCGGACCTTGGGGGTTGGGGGGGGGGGGGGGGCAGTGATGCTGACCATACATATAGTACTAAAGATATTCATGTACAGTACTGCGCATATACAATTCCCCACCCTGTGGGGTTGATTGTGACAACCATGCTCCTCCTCGCCTCGCCCGTCGTCCCGCCCCCGAAATCCCTTCTTAGCCAGAGATCTCGAGGCTCCCTGGAGTGCCCATTGGAGCGCCCCTTGAAATGCCCATCCTAAACCCTAAACCCCAAACCCCACGGGAAGCCGAAAGAGAGTCCCGGCGAATGTCCCTGGAGTGCCCACTCGCAAAGAAGCCCGCAGCGAGTCTGCCATGACGATTTGTTGAACACTGGGCGAAGGCTTGGTAGAAAGAGGGGCGCACGGACATCAACAGCAATGAATTTACCAATCCAAGTATCCGTGTCAATGGCCTTGACTTGCACAGATTGGGCCAGTTTCAGTTCGTATCCTTGCTGCTTCTAGCACCGAACCCCCCAGAGCCCCAAATGCAAGAGAGAGCGGCCAGCCACGAATCTCAGTTCAACAGGGAGAGCAAGTGCAGGCCTGTGAGGTACATGGTGCACACGTGTACTTGGAGGTTCATGATAGATTCTTAACCAATTATAGCAGTACTTTTAAGCCCCTGAACTGCCCCAATATGGTCATAAGTACAGTTATAAGTACAACTATAATTGGTAATAAGCCTAAACCGACAAAAAGCCCAAACCCCTAAACGTACCATGAACCTCCAAGTAAGGTGTCTCGAAGTTTGAGGTGGCGTGTCTGGGATAGCCGCTGGCTACAGGGGTCGGTCGGTCGGGTTGCAGCACTGGACTTTCATCTGTTTTTTTCCTGCCTGTTCCTGTGCAGGGCGCCTTAAAGGGTGAGGAGAAGGAGATCAAGTTCTCTATCCTGAGAGCGCAGAAGACCAAGAATTACATCTACTCCAAGCACCGAAGCTGCATTGGAAGTGTTGTCTTAGCCATCCACCTTTGTCATCTTGGCTTGCTGCCTTTGATGACTGAACAAAGCAGCTGCGTGAACAGCAAGCGTTCTCCTCTCCCTGACAAGAAAATGCCTGTCGAGCTTCACTCAAGGCCGTGGTACATCATCAACCCTGATCGGAATGCAGCAGCATCTGCATGGCAGGCCCATGCAATGAAGGGGTCCTGGCGGTGAGGTGAGGCAAGGGAGGTTGCCGGGGCTTAAGCCAAGGAAGATGGATGCTGCGCTGCAAGCCCCTAAGCCCCAAACCCTAAGCACCTCGCATCCCGACATCGTTACCTGGCAGTGTGGCTGGTCGGCTGGGCGGTTGGCAAAAAGCCCCAAACCGAAACTGAGAACTCCTAAATCCTTGCAAAAGTCGTCCCAACGCCTTGCGCAGATGGTCGTGGGGGTGGCCTTAATCTTCGTGGCCATTGTGGCTGTGGCCGCAAGGAGTCGTGACCTGTGCCAGACGTCTTGTCACCAGGATAAAGGCTTTAGGGTTTGGGGCTACGACTACGGCAAGGGTCATTGTTGCAATTAAGTGTTGCATCAGAGCAGCATGGCGCTGCGCATGAGCTAGCACGTCGCTGTGAAATCTGTCGCGACATGCTTGGCGCACTTCTACTAGAATATACGACGCCTTCGCACATGTTTGGTGGAAGTTTCTTTATAGGGTTTCGGGCATTTGTCCGCGAAAAAAGAACGCTGCGAGCCCAGAGGCAGAAAGGGGTGAAGGGTTTAGCCCTACACCCTAAAGCCTAAACCCGAAACCCTAAACCCTAAACCCTAAACCCAGCTCAGGTGACACCCTTCCAGGTGGGCTTGCTGGAGCTGGAGGTGGATGCGATCCTTGGTTTAGGGTTTAGGGTTTAGGGTTTAGGGTTTAGGGACAGCAGAAAAGCCAAGGAGTGTAGCTACGCCAACTTCTTCTCTCGTTGGAGAAGTACATCAATGCAAGAAAAAAACGGGCTTGAGCTTGTCCATCTTATATCTTAGTAGGAATTAGAGCAGAATCGGGTGTATGATCCCCATTCACCCTATACCCTAAACCCTAAATCCTAAATCCTAAACGCTAAACCCTAAACCCTAAACCTTAAACCCTAAACCCTAAGGTTTAAGATTCTCTTGATCCCCTCCTGAGGATTCTGGTCATTGGCCTGTGCGTGGACTGTGTGTGGCCATGGCAGCACATGATTCCTAGGTAGGATAAGGGGGACCCTCAAAAGGAACCCCTTCTGAACTGTCTTTATATCCGCAAGGGTCCCCCTAATCCTATCCACTAATGAAAGGGCATTAGGTTATTCCTGTCGTTTTCTTTGCGTTGCGGGCCTTGAATCTGCCGCTGAGAGCTGAAGACGGCACAGGTTTCTCGTCGACATGGTGCTTCAGTTCTTCACGACCTTTCCAAAATCGACCACTCATGGAATCGTCTGGGAGGTTCGATTGAGGAAGATCTGGTGTCACTACCTGATACTTTGCTGATCTTAGAAGCTGCAGTTCTTCAACTTCCCTCGTATCAATGGAGGCCCGCTGCATCTACGTACAAGGGCCCTAAACCCTAAAGCCTAAATCCTAGCCCTAAACCCTAACCCCTCAACAAGCCCACACTTAGGAAATCCTGGTTCTTTCTCGACTTGGTGACCCTGATCCCTTTTGACTTGTTCACCCTGGCCATTCAATCGAAACAGCTGGACGAGCTTCAGAGTCTCAAGGTGTTTCTTGGCCAGCAGCACTGGGGGGGGGGGGGGGGGGGGGGGGGGGGGCCTTAAAGGAGGGGTGAGAGGTCCATTCGGGTTTAGGGTTTGGGGATAGAGCGGTCCGCTGTCAGGCTGCGAACGCTGCGCCTTGTGAAGATCATGCGTCTGGCCAAGTCCTCCCAGAACCTGGGCTCACTTAATGCAGCCCCTGTTATAACCCTAAACCCTAAAGCAGAAACCAACCCTAATTGTTTTGTACTGCCTTTGTTTTCCCTTTCTTCCTCCTTTTACTCGCGACAGTGTCTTGTTGTCAGGGTGCTAGGTTGCAACAAGCCAGCGCTACTCTACACAACCCCTAAACCCTCACAGCCCTAAACCCTAAACCCTAAACCCTAAACCCTATTCTGAGCCTGTCTAAGGTTCATGCACAAGATTGAGGTGCCACTGTCGATACCATACCAGCAGATGGCTCTGACTCGGTTCTTGTTGATCTTGGCCTTCGTTTGCCACTGGCTGGCATGCCTCTGGGCCATGACCCTGAGTTTCTTAGTAGCTGAATAAGTACACCTTTTTTCTCACTTTTGTGGGAACCCTAAACCCGAAACCCGAAACCCTAAACCCGAAACCCTAAACCCTAAACCCTAAACCCTAATGAGGCTTATGATCTCAGCAACTAAGGCTTGGGGGATGAAGACCATCCCTCATGGATCGATGGCATCGCAGAAGAGGATCGTGCCATCGGGATCAATACTCGAGACTCGCCATGGCGAGTCTACCTATCCTCCTTCTACTTCTGCAGCTATACCCTAACCTCCGTGGGCTACGGAGACATCGGGCCTGCGAACATGCTGGAGCGAACCATCTGCTGTGTAATAATCCTCTCGGCTGGGTTGGCTTGGGCTTATGTCATTGGTGAGGTCGCAGCCATTGTCCATGACCTGACTGCCGAGAGTCACGTCTTCAGAAAGCGGATGCATCACCTCAATCTGATGATGCGCGACCAGGGGCTTCCGTACGACTTGTGCTGCCGGCTGCGAAGCTTCTTCCTGCAGAACAAGCATCAATCCCTCGTAATGGCTCGCCAGGCTCTCCTGGATCGTATGAGTCCCCAGCTGCAGTCTGAGGTGTGCATTGCAACCAACTTCGCTTGGCTTCAGAAGGTGCATTTCTTTAACAAGTTCATGAACTTCATCAGGAGGCAGGAGCGGATGGGCAGGCACACCGAGCCATATCAGGCATGCGTGGCGCACGTGTCGAAGATGCTCTCCTTCGGAGCCTTCGCGCAGCGGGAAGCCTTCACCAACGTGCAGGTGCCCTTTTAGGGTTTAGGGTTTAGGGCTTAGGGTTCCCACCATACTGCTCAGACGCAGCTCCTTACAACCACGAGGTTTCTGGGATGCTCCCCCTGAATGATACTAGCAGCTCCTTAAAAGGGATTCTAGTAGCCCCTATGATAATCCCTATGAAGGACTGTTAGTATAAGGGGGAACATCCCACACGAGCCTTCAAGTAATGTTAGGTTGGTGCTGTTGCCACCGAACTTCACAGACGTTTTTTAGCTGGTGACCGCTCCGCCTAAGGTGCTGTACATCCTGTCCAAGGGCTTAGTGGCCTTGAACAGCAGAGTGCGATCTCATGGAGAAGTCTGGGGCGAAGATTTTGTGTTGTGGGATCCTTGACCTACTCAGAATCAACCCTCAATCCTAAACCCTAAGCCCCTAAACCCTAAACCCTAAACCCTAAACCCTAAACCCTAAACCCTAAACCAACTCTGCTTGTGATAAGCGAATGATGCCATCCGGCCTCGGAGCGCTTCACCCCAAGACGAGAAGCTGGGGGCTTACGAAAATGGGGGACCCCCAATATTAGGTTTAGGGTGTAGGGTGTAGGGTTCAGGGTTCAGGGTTTAGGGTTATAGATCCGCAAACAGTAGGATCCCCCCTTAGTGCGGACCCCGAGAACGTAGCCCTAATTTCAGAAACTCCCCGAAATGGTTTCCGGGTTTAGGTTTGCCGGGCCTCCGTGCGTTGAGGGCGACCCGTCCCCCAAGAACGCCCTAGCTGGCCCCTCACCAAGTTTCGCCCGACGAGCATGAAAGAATTGTTTAGGGTGCAGGGATATTGAGTATTCTGGGGGGGGGGGGGGGGGGATGCTTGGGGACTCAATCTCCAGGGACAACAGTCAGTGACTGAATTCCTGGCTGATTCCTCGCCAAGGATACGTCTCTCATCCATCCTGTCACCGGCTACACCTTGACATACATCGAGGTTTTGTCTTTGTCTCGCGCAGACCTGATGCCGCTGGGCTGCTCACAAGCGTGATGGCCAGCCGTGATTTCGCACACAGGTGGCTTCAAGTAGTGCGGCCTTGTCCATCTGAATCTAAGGCATGTGATACACGAGTGCCGCTTTACCAGCCCAGAGCTGGGACAGAATCTTGGCTGCGAGTCCCGGAGCTGTCCCAAGTGCCCCCCGAAAATGGATTGGGGTTTAGGGTTTAGGGTTTAGGGTTTAGGGTTTAGGGTTTAGGGTTTAGGGTTTAGGGTTTAGGGTTTAGGGTTTAGGGTTTAGGGTTTAGGGTACAGCGAAGGCTTCAGGTTGAGCAGCCGAGGATTGTTCGGCGCTACTGCGTGCGAATCGCGGTTTATCGCGGCGTCCTTCAGGAGGCGAGGGAGAGACGTGGGGAGAACTCTCACACAGCCCTTGGGTAGAACGCAGCATAGAAACCCCCTAAACCCTAAACCCTAAACCCTAAACCCTAAACCCTAAACCCTAAACTACAGGGCATGCAGAGGCCGTTTCCCACTTGACTGAAACTTTGCAGAGTGACATCAGGCACGCCGCCTCAAGCGCCAGATGGCCAAAGTGCAGGTGCCATGCTCGGCACTGACATGTGGCCTTAGCACCTTTTAAGGGAAATATAAAGGGGGAACTCGGGACCTATACCCTTTAAGGGATGATCTAAGGGGGCCCTATATATGGGGGTTTACGATATTAGGGGTGGCCCTATAAATGGGGGTTACGATATTAGGGGTACCTTACTGGGGTCCTTATTATATGATATAAGGGAGTCCTACTATTTGGGGGCTCTATTATTGGCGGTCCCTTATTTTCGTCAACCCCCATAATTACAGCGTATCACACGGTTCAGCCGAGGCGATCGGAGCCAATGGAGATACGTCGCCACCAAGAGCACCAAAGTTGGAGACTCCAGACCCACCAGAGTACAGCGGTTCTCTGAGACATGGCTTACTTGAGATGCGCAGCATGTTGTAACAAACTATAGGGTTTCAGAGCCTGCATGGATCTTGCCAGAAGACTCAAGCCCTTGACGAAGGATCGGCGCACCAACTGGGCTTCCCGGAGCACTGGATGAGTAATCTCCATGCCAGACGCCGCGCAACATTTTTGTACCCGCACAGCGTCGCTGAGAAGATCAGTTGGGCCAAAAAGGCTGTGCGGCCAGCGGTCCACAATTAATGCACGATTGTCCTACCATAGTTTTGTTTAGTGCCGCGTGCAATCGCAAGGCATTTCTTTGCTCGCTGTGGTTGTCAAGCTTCAATGCTTGACGGCAAGATTCTGAAGATTTAGCCGACTTAGCCTTCGGCAAATTGCCGTTTCGAGCGCTTTTAGAGCAGGTATCCGAGCCTGCCACGGCTTGAATGAATGTCCTTTGAAATGGAGGCCTCTTGCCACAGTCACAGGTATTCCAGGGCGGCATGCCTACGCCCCCCGCGGGTTGGCCATGAAAGGCCTGACATATTCGCGACCTACAGAGACGCCCCGCCAGAGCACATCTACTTTCCTACCTTGAGTTCACGGAGCTGCGCACCTCTGACCCTGTCTCAACCCCGAAGGAGTTCCTGAGTTTTCGCCAGCACATGACAGTACACTCCAAAAAGTTTTCCCCAGTGTCACGTTTGCACACACGTAAACGCGAGAGAGAGAGGGAGGGAGAGAGAGAGAGAGAGAGAGCCCGAAGGGTTGCACGTGCCGGGAACCTGTGATTTCCCACGTTGGCAAGATGGCCGTGTCCCCTTGCGATGGCAAGTAGATGCCAGAGTTAGAGCACCAAAGCTCTAAGAAATGGATTCTGCAAGTCAGGCGAGAAGGCCTGCAGCAGCAGAGTCCAGCTGAGCTTGCAGCTACCAACTTCGTTGTGATATTCCGACCCGGTATCTAACAGCGCCGAGCTGCAGTTCCTCAGCAACTTAAGGGTGTAGGGTTCACAGTGGCTCAATGCATGTGGACCGTGCCTGCTTAGCTAACTCTGGACCAAAGGGATCTCCGAGCGGCGGGCTGAAGGCCTGCTGATAGTTGTTCTTCATGCTCGCCCGCGCGGTTTGCGGTCAAAAGCCCTTTACCCTAAACCCTAAACCCTAAACCCTAAACCCTAAACCCTAAACCCTAAACCCTAAACCCTAAAAGGAGGGGGTGGGTTCCAACCGTGGCCCCCCGAAAATCCCCCTCGTAGAATCATCAGGTGTGCTGTGTCACTTTGTTCCGAGGAGTCGGGAGTTCGAAGACCTAACCTGAACGCAGAGAATACCAGGACGGGCTGTTAGGCCCTATAACCCCCTTAACAAGGCCCTTGATAGGGTTGATTATGGGGACGGGCTATTAAACCCTATAACCCCTTAAAAAGGCCCTTTATAGGGTGGATTATGGGGATTCTAGGGCCAAATCGCCCATCCTGGTACATTGCTTCATCCCTGGGCATACCGCGAAGCAGAGTTGTGAGGTGGCTATTTGATGGACACAGCTCAAGCGACGTTCCCTTTGAGTACTTGGCAAACCCATCAGGCTGGTCTTTTCTTTTCACTGGTTTATTTTAGGGTTTAGGGTTTAGGGTTTAGGGTTAGAGTTTGGGGAGCCTTGCAGTGCGACGGCACGCTGCCATAGCCATGCGGGCAATGCTGGCAGCAAGATTGGCTGTAGGTTTTGGTCGAAGCATGTGTCAGCGTTCAAGTTCCTAAGAGGGCGTTCCTGACCTGAACATGTGCATGCAGCCTGCACTCACAGCTTGTTCTTACTGAGTTTCTTAAAGTTGCCGTCTTTCCATGCTTCCCACCCGTACCAACCCTCTTGGTGCAGGCTCCTTCACTGTGGAGGCGTGGGCCGCTTGCAACGGAACAGCGGGTCACCAGCCATCAGCCGAGTTGACGGCCCCCCGCGATGCCCCCCCCCCCCCCCCCCCCCCCCCCCCAACTTCTGCCCCCAACCCAACCCCAACCCCCCCCCCTCCCCCACCCCCCCCCCACAATCCCCCCCCCCCCCCAACCCCCCCCACACCCACGAGTCGTGAAGCGCCAAGGTGCCTCTTGGCCTCCCGCGACCTGGCGGCTGGCAAAAAGGTCAGGGGGCCCACCAATACTATTAAGAATGTTCAGGAATCTACTGTGTTTTCAGTTGAAATCCCACTACTTTCTTTTTTTATGATTCATTCTTGTAGTTATTAATAACATGGTGATTGGCCTCTCAGCGGAAGGCAGTCAAAGTGTAGCAACTTTTGGTGGCAGCGGCAGACTTGGCTTGCCTTGCGATTGGCCTGCTGCTGCCCTTTGAGGTCGGGTTTTGTTGGGCAAAATGTATCAAAATGTGACATGGTGACATGCACACTACCTAGGCACTGTCACAGGTGCATCTTGACCCATGCTTTTATGGTGAAGGGTTTAGGGTTTAGGGTTTAGGGTTTAGGGTTTAGGGTTTAGGGTTTAGGGTTTAGGGTTTAGGGTGTCTCGCACATCTTCTGACTAGCCATGTCGGGCGGGCGGCCGCAGATGCTGATGTGTGGCTCACCTCAAATCAGTCGCATGTGGGGGGGGGGTTGTCTACATTATGGTTCCCTCTTGGGGTATTCTCAGGCGACCCCGAATATTTAGGGTACCCCAAAAAGGGACCATCTTCTCAAGAAACTCACCATGCGGATTCATCCTGGCCTGGGCCTGTGCTAGCTTGAGCAGCTTGAGCATTCAGGCTACCTGTGTGGACGGGAGTTTGGATCCCGATCTTTGCCGATACATGTGCCACAATGCCGGAGCCTTGTTGCCCTTTGCTGTGCAGTCGCAGTTTCCCTTGTTGCGATCCATCGCAGCATCCGAGCGATTCTCAGGCCTCAATCATCTTAGGGCCCCCCTTTTCCGATCCTCCCGTGAGGAATCCCATGAGAAGTGCCAAGCCCGCCTCATGCTCAGGTGAAAAGAAATGGTTGGCCCAGGCCGCTTTCTGCACAGATGACTTGTAGCATGGTTTAGGGTTTCGGGTTTTAGGTTTAGGGTTTAGGGTTAGGGTTTAGGTTTTAGGGTTTAGGGTTTAGGGTTTAGGGGCTCGCCCGTCGGTGCTGCCACCAGCAGCCCCAAGTACTTACTGTTGGTTGGTAGGGAATGGGGGAAGGAGGTACCCTATGTAATCCCTTAAAGGGTATATATAAGGCCCTAGTTCCCTCATTCCCTGCTAACGGACAGTGAGAGCATCTGCATGCCTAAGCCGAGGAGGAGAAAAAGCCGCTTTCTGAGCAGAAGCTCCAATCTCAGCAGAGTTTGCTTGGAGGGTTTAGGTTTAGGTTTGGGTTAGGGTTTGGGGTTTAGGGTGCATGGGCTCACGTAGAGTGTGCACTTGTGGACTCGAGCTTGTTCCATTGTAAGCCTGACTACCGGTACCACATTCACGCTTAGCGTAGTCAACTGCTACCTCAGGTAGAACCCCTATGTATACCTTATATAGCACCTATATACCTAAGTAGCCCCTAAATACCCCTAAAGAACCCCTTAAGGCCCCTAAGAAGGGTCCCCCTGTAGTCCCTTGAAGCGAAACTTAGAGTCCTCTGAGGCCACTTCCCCGGCGACCGGAGCGTTTGGCGGCGATGCTGGCAGGGACGTCGTTGAGCAACCAGGCGTTCTCCATATGTATAATAGTGTATAATATGCATAATATGTATAAATAGTGCATAATATGTATAAATAGTCTATAATATGTATCCGTAATGCAGATATGTATCGTATGCACAATATGTTTGATATGTTTCACGGCTTTGCCTCTTAGAGATGTTTTCTGGGGGCGCAGGGCTTTGTTTTGCTTCTCCGACACCTGAAGGACCGGGCAACGTTCAACGAGGAATGCCCGGGCGCGGGGTACGAGCTGTTGCCCCTAAACCCTAAACCCTATACACCCTGCAAAGCCTGTAAACCCATGTGGGCCAGCATAGGTGCACCCCCCCCCCCCCCCCCCCGGGTTTAGAGTTTTATTCGGGTTCAAGGTTTGTGGTAATAGCAGGTTTACGGTTTCCCCTCTCCCCCCTGTGGTCGTGCTGGGTTTACGGTTCAAGGTTCAGGGGCACATATAAACCCTATAAACCCTATAAATCCTATAAACCCTATAAACCCTATAAACTCTATAAGCCCTATAAGCCCTATAAGCCCTATAAGCCCTAACCCCCCCCCCCCCCCAGGCCGTCACAACCCCCCTGCTATTTCTGAACCCTGGAGGAGATGCACAACAACTACGACCAGGAGGCTTCTTGCAAATCATGGGGGGGTTTAGGGTTTAGGGTTTAGGGTTTAGGGTTTAGGGTTAGGGTTTAGGGCTCCAAGGTAGTAGAAGGGGCGGGCCGGCCCTGGGCGGTATCTGCTACTACATCCATGCCACGACGTGGCCTGAGACCTCGACATGGCTATTACCCAAAAATAGGGGGGGGGGGGGGTACCTAGGGTTTAGGGTTTAGGGTTTAGGGTTTAGGGTTTTTAGGTAGAATCCCTCACAGAGGGACCCCCCCCCCAAAAACCTACCCCCCACATGAACTCGTCCGCATCTTACGAGGTCTTGGAGAAATGCCCATGGTGTGGCCGGACGTTTACGTCAGCCGCGCTTGCGATCCATGCGAAGAGTTGCACAGAGGAGCCAACAGTGTAAGGCTCCATGTGGGAGGGTTTAGGGTTTAGGGTTTAGGGTTTAGGGTTTAGGGTTCAGGGTTCAGGGTCAGGGTTCAGGGTTAAAGATCCCAAGCCGAAGCAAACAGTTCAACACATCGCAAGAGGAGTCTCCCGCGAAGCCGGCGGGTACTGGACTGACGAAGGCCAGCCTCAGCAACACCATCGTGCCGGGAATCTCGGCCGAGAATTCCCTAAACCCTAAACCCTAAACCCTAAACCCTAAACCTAAACCTAAACCCTAAACCCTAAACCCTAAACCCTGAACCCTAACCTAAAACCCCCTGAACCCTAAACCCTAAACCACTATGGGGCACTGGAGGCACCAGTGGGCCGCAGGAGGGTTTAGGATATAGGCTTTGGCGGCGCCTCAAACAAGGTTTAGGGTTTAGGGTTTAGGGTTTAGGGTTTAGGGTTTAGGGTTTTTAGGGTTTAGGGTTAGTTAGGGTTTAGAGAAGCTACTCGCCTCCTCTAGTCCTAAGCCCTCTCTACCATAGTCTAGTCATGCAAGAGCTGACAGAGTTGTAGGCAAGTTCAACCCCCCCCCCCCACAGCGATTTTTCACTTTGCATACAGCTGTAGCGTCAGCCGCAGCCCTTTGAGGCAAGATCTACGGCACCCCGCTCAGTTGAATGTGGATGACGCGGATGCTGCCATCTCTCAGCGGTTTGAAGATTTGTTCTAGATGATTTTAATTAGGGTTTTTAGGGTTTAGGGTTTAGGGTTTAGGGTTTAGGGTTTAGGGTTTAGGGTTTAGGCACTCAGTTAAGTTTGGGGGAGCTGCTGGAGTTTCGGGTGTAGGGTTTAGGGGCTTCACCCTATTAAGAGTCGTAGAAGCTTCTAGACGCCCTATATCCATTTGATGTGTCCATAAGAGACTTTGACAGACAGGAATGCCCTAAACCCCCAAACCCTAAGCCTTCTGCAACTGTCCTTCTTCTACGGCAGGGCACGTGGGAAGCCAGAATCAGCATGCTTACACATCAGATGGCCCTGGTGCCTCCCAGGAGCGGGCTTCAGGTTTATGGCCTTTCGGGTTTGGGGTCAGGGGTTAAGGTTCAAAAAGGGTTTAGGGTTTAGGGTTTAGGGTTGGTCCGTTACACGTTGAAGAAAAGGAAGCCCGTGAGATTATCTCGGAGGCTGCTCCGGAAGGAATAGTTGGCTCCCGAACTTGGGGCGGGGGGGGGGGGGTCCAGTCATGGGAGTAGAATGTGAAGGGCTTTAGGGTTTAGGGTTTAGGGTTCAGGGTTCAGGGTTTAGGGTTTAGGGTTCAGGGTTTAGGGTTTAGGGTTTAGGGTTCAGGGTTTAGGGTTTAAGCATCGGCGTGAGTCATCGAGGAGAGACTTGTTTCGACTCCACACCCTGCAGGAGTTGCGGGCGCTGTCGCCGCAGCCGCAGCGGGCAATATCGCCCATGCGCCGGGCAGCCTCCGCAAAGCCGAGCCCATAGCTGCAGGGTTTAGGGTTTAGGGTTTAGGGTTTAGGGTTTAGGGGTTCAGGGTTTAGGGTTTAGGGTTTAGGGGTGTTCTGTGACTTCCATGGGGCAAGAATGTTTGACAGGGATCCTCCGCTGCTTATCCCTAACTGCCCCTCTGCTCGAGACAGGCTGGTTATGTGGCCTTGTTTCCGGTAGGGGGTCGTTCAGATGGGGCCCTAAACCCTAAACCCTAAACCCTAAACTGGGAAGGCGTATAGAGGACCCCCCAGCTTTTGCAGTCGCGCCGCGTAAACATGTCTGCCCAGGCTTCGCCCAAGCAGCAAGGGCCCAAACAAGGCCAGCTGTTTCAGCCCCCTGAAGTCTGCCAATTTTCTTAAGAACCCCGAAAAAAGTCAGAAACATTCTTCCTTATTAAGGGTATACTATAGGGGGATTCTATGGGTTCTTAAGAAATATCATCCCTTCTTAAGGGTAATATAGGGAATCTATGGGTTCTTAAGAATATTATCCCTTCTTAGGGGCAATGTAGGGATTCTATGGGTCCCTAAACCCTAAACCCTAAACCCTAAAGCCCCTTAAACCCTTCTTAAGAAAACCGCAGAAGTGGGGAGGAGGTGCGCCGAAGTGCATGGCACTGATGCCCTTGTCTCTGTCTTGTGCTGTGCAGGCGCCGCCCCCCACACCTCCAGCAGTTGCCGCAGCGCCTCCTGGCAAGATCTGTTTAGGGTTTAGGGTTCAGGGTTTAGGGTTAGGGTTTAGGGTTTAGGGTTTAGGGGTTTAGGATCTTTCCCAGAGGGTCCGTTTGTAGTATTAGGCACCCCAAAAATCCTTCTACATAGGGTTTTGGGGGACCTAATTCCATAGTAGTAGTACAAATGGACCCTCTGGGTTTCTAGCTGACGTCATCTGAAGCCCGCCTCCGTTCCTTACTTGCGCCAGATAAACGGGTGCGAAGTGCTAGTCAGTACATGGAAGATATGAAAGAGGGTAGCCCACTGCACGTGCTCATTCGTTCTGGCATTCATGTCGCAGGATCGAATTCCAACCGAAGCTTGTGCCGGCGGCGGCGCCGGTTTGCATTTACAAGCAGGACCCGGACTGGACGGAACAGTAAATATCGTGTTCCTCTTATGCTCTCTACATGCAATGTCATGAAGAGCACCCCGTTTGAACCAAGTGAAGTCCTTGCGCTATCATGCCTCGACGCCCATGTGGGCTGGAGGAGCCTACGCCAGTGTCGCCAGCACTTGGTGTCTATGCCGGCCAGCCAGCACGAGCTCCCGTCGTGTGCCCCGCCTTCTTCGGTGACGGTGACCATGATTTTCATAAAAGAGCCAAGTGTGTAAGGGAGGGGGCGATAACTTGAGCAAGGCTTTGTATGCTGGTTGAGCATTGGGGGAAATTTGGGGCCTTGTACTCCCACTACACCTCCCTAGTTCCTTGTGACAAACTGTGTAGTAGGCTCATAGGTAAACCCTAAACCCCAAAACTCTAAACCCCAAAACCCTCCCTGTGTTCAGAGGGTCTGGAGCAACGTGACCACTGCGCCAATCGTGGCGCAAAGCACCGTGGCCACCCCTCCCGCCGCGATGGCGCCCTGCACTGCGGTCAGTCACTTGCCAGATGATAAACCCTAAACCCTAAGCCCTAAACCCTAAACCCTAAACTCTAGCCCATTCCAGTCGAGGACACCGCAAGGCTGCTGCCAAAGGGTTTAGGGTGTAGGGTTTAGTTTAGGGTAATCGTGGTCGTAGCCTTCAGATGCGGACGTGAGATTGAAGAGCCGAGCTTGGGGGCACCCTTTTGTGGCAGCTTCTTGCTCCGAAGGGCTGTTCTGGTACATCCTGAGAGTCGAAAGCGACCGTTTGGACCAAGGGATTCCGATTAAGTCGAGTCGGAGTGTGCAGGCCTTCGAAAAAGTGCCCAGAGTGCATTGAGGCACGCCGCCGAAAGTTCAGACGCCACGCAGCTCCGCAGGACTTTGCATAGTTACGACCTGTTACGATGACCCAAGCCCTTGCAGTGTCACTACTGGTGCTCTGCTTTGCTAGGCGGAAATCTTCCTTCTCCCCTACCGGCACATTGCGTTGTCAGGACCTGGCCAAAGCAAGGCTGCAAACTTCTGCTCTGACTGTGGGACTCGCTTTGTGGCGGCGGCGAAGTTCTGCCATGAGCCTGCCTTGCAGTTCAGCCCCCGAAGGGCTCCTTTATTATCGAATGGCCCAGAAAAAAACGGGGTTGAAGAATCAAGGATTTCTGAAGCTTCTAGCCTTACCTGCGAACTTGACATGGTGCAAGGTGCCTCTGGTCACACCATGGAGGGAGAGGGACAGGCAGAGAGAGAGAGAGGGGCGACTCCTTTTGGGCGGTCATGTGAGGGGACACGTCGCTCGACGACGACGGAGAGGATGCAGAGGAGGAGGATGCCGGTGGGGAGGGCCTCGGCAAGTAGCACAAGCAACACCTCATTGGGGGGGCCGTCAACAAAGGGGGGCCACACCTTCGGAGCCGAACCCTCGCCTGAGAGCCTTAGTGATGCGTAGCCCAGAAACAGTCAACAAGGGGGCCGTCAAAACATGACCAATGAGTCGAGGGCCCCAGTTTTCACAGGCTTCCCTTCGGGGCCTCTTCAGGCAAAGTCCTGGACACACAACGGCACCCAACTTGCCAACATGAACATGGGTGGCGCGTTTTACTCGGACCGGACGGGACAGCAAACCGTCGCAGCCTTGGACCTTCTGCAAGGGGGGGGGCCTCTTCGCCGAGGAGGAAGCGAAGAAGGAGAAGAAGAAGAAAAAGAAAACAGAGGAACTTGAAAACCAGGTTCTCACAGGCAATGAACCACTTGGCCGTTGCGGCCAGGTCCCTTCCTCCAGGGGGGGGGAGGGCCTGAAGTGCACAGAAGAAGAAGAAGAAGAAGAAGAAGAAGAAGAAGAAGAAGAAGAAGAAGAAGAAGAAGAAGAAGAAGAAACAGAGGGAGAGAGCGAGAGAGAGAGAGAGAGAGAGAAAGAGAGTGGGGCATGCCCAGCAGAAGAAGAAAGGGGGGGCGCATTCACTTCCGTGTTATACGTCTTCGCCAACACAACCAAAAACCCTAAGCCATTCCACCCTTTCTGCCTTTTTCTGTATGACTCATCAGGAGTGCGGGTCCCTGCGGCCAGGGGCAGAGCCACCCACGAGGACCAAGTTCTGTCACACTTGTGGGGCACGAAGTGCCCACAAGAGTTGCTCGCGCTGACTTGGGGGGGGGCCCCTCTCGCGGCACAATGGATCCCTTAGTCGGTCCGACCAGGGCCGTTCCGGTTTCACCGCTAGTCTACTAATGGCTTAAGAACCACCCAAAACAGAAACATATTCTTCATCATAAGGTTAATATAGGGACTGTTAGTCTTTATTCTTTTGGGGTTCTTAATCAAATGGTAGTAGCCCGGCACCTCCTCAGACTCAAAGCCATCAGTCTGGGGGGATTGCTGAGCGCACGTCGTTCTGAGAAACGGTGGCGTTGCCGGCTGCCAGGTCTGCGACAGGTGCCGCACTTACAGCTAGGCGAACACTGGCAAACATTGTGGTGTCGAGGCTGGCTATGCCTTCTATGTGGAGCCCGAGGGCGTGTGGTCATTCTGGGTTTCTTGACAGCACTTCGCAGCAACACATGGCATTCCATGTCGAGCGTGCCTCTGTTTCTGTTTGACATCTTGGTCGGCGCCTTGTCTTGAGCATGGCACCTTCAAATGTACGGGATTGTTCCAAGCATGCCGGGCCGCATCGCAGCTTAATTGGCTCTGTTGCTGAAGGTGTAAAACCCGCTTGTGGCGTGATGGGTCTGCAGGCCATGTCAGAACGACCTGAGAACATGGAGGAGTGGTGCAAACTTGTACCAAATCTGCTCTCAGAAGACGGCTGGCAAGCCGTGTTGCAAGACCCTTCATCCGCAATGTTGCACCGATGCTGCCCGTGGGGTGGCAGCCTTGTAAAGTTCGTTCTTCGCGACATGTTGATCCAAGACCCTCCCGATGATCCAGCTGATGTATTGGTGCGGCCAGAGGTCCGGGCATCTAAGGCCGAGCTAGATGAGACATGGGCGGCGTTGCATGTTCTGGCGCCCGCCGACTGTACTATGCACTGGTCTGTCAGCCCCTTTACCAACTGGAAGGTCACCCGGTATCTGGATGTTCTGTTTGGCTTAGACCAGCACTTTGGCTGTTGGAGGGACAGCCATGCAACTCTGCGGCGGAATTTCCCACAGGTCGGTGACTGCGCCATGGCGATGCGCGAGGCTTCCCAGAGAAAGGAGCGCCTTGCCGTTTCCCGACCTCAGCAAGACGGCAAGTTTTCAGTGTACGTGATCTTCGCCTTTGCCGCAACCTTGTCTTTGCCGAAGTTGGCAGCTCCACATCTCCCGATAACGCTGCAGCTTCTCAGGTCCACTGTGAACTGGTGCCTCAACCGTCCCGGTGCTGCAGTAGAGAGGCACATGTCTCGAACTTTCTACGTGGTCTTGGCACTCTCCAGCTTCAAGCGCGGCTGGCCCATGATCCCCGCGCGCGGGAAGGGCGGCAAGGGCGGAAAGGAGAAGCCGGCGACCATCAACCGGGGTCGGGACTGGGGGCTTGGTGCATGGGAACGGTATCGTCCGGCGATGGCAGGCAGTTGTGACTTTCATCTGTCAGAGTACCTTTGTCATAGTTGGGTAACATGTTACATTTTAAAGGTACTTAAACCCAATAAGGAATATAATTTCAAATTACTAATATTATCCCAACCATGAACTAGGTACCTCCAGCTCTTCTTGGAGAGAATTGGTAAGCCAGCCATTGTCTACCAAAGCTTGGATGGGCAACAGCTGCTGCCATACCAGTGCGTCATGGCCCAGGCAGACTGGCATCGCGTCAAGGCTGATCTCCAGGACATCTTCCGCCTTCAGATGGCGGCCTATCGCCGTGTCAACGGCGGAACATCAGCCCCAAGGCTTCTCGAAGCCGCACCCCGCTTCTGCCGGGAGGCCCTCTCGCAGCGCATCGAGTCGCTGGCAGATCACGGGCTGGTGGTGCGCAACACGTTCCTCGACACCGGCGACGCGAGTGGCATGTTGGGAGCACCTGCTGGCCGTTGCGCCCGCTGTCGGACAGTACCGCCGCATGCTCGCTCGCCCATGCCTGTGGCCGCCTGAATGCCGCGAAGGCCTTGCAGCGACGCGTTGGAAATCGGGGGTTTACGAAAATTCGGGACCCCCAATATGGATCCCCGAATGGTAGGGTCGCCGTATAACAAGGACCCCAATAAGGTACCCCTAGTTTCGGAAACCCCCATGTCGTTTCGTTCAGATGTAAAGAGTGGGAGAGACGCAAATACATGTGCACAGCACCTTCTGTACAGGCCTTGGTAGGGTATAGTGCGTCTCACATGCGACTGCGAACGGCTTTCCAAAACATTCCAAAAATCTGCTTCGGTAGTTCTAAGTTTAACAGTGTTCTGGTCTCCCTCTCAAAAGCAGGGTGTCGCATTCGAAGAAACCCATGAAACTCTCAGATAGATCCCAGTAGGTTACCCGAAACCCGAAACCCTAAACCCTAAACCCTAAACCCTAAACAGACAGAGAAGCCCGAACTCAAGGTGGGCACGGCCAAGCGATGGGAGAAGCGGCCGCCTCAGGAATCCTCAGCCCTTTTGGGGCTTAGGGTTTAGGGTTTAGGGTACATGGGGGTTTTGCAAGTACCCAAGGGAGGGCGGGGGTGGAGGGAGAGGTGAGGTCTTGGTGAATAGCTGCGGTCGGCTTGCCCCTCATGCTGATATGTATGTATGTAAGTACGTATGTAAGTAAGTAAGTATGTATGTATTTGTATACATGAATGTACATATATATATATATATGTATCCATACTGTTGTTTTATCAGTATCGGGGCATCATTGCTTTTAAAATCGTTGTCGTTTGCTTGTGCTCATCTTTTTTCTCATTACCACTATCATGAATCCGAATTAGCGCTTGTACTATCATCCATATCATTCCGATATTGAGTAAACCCTCAGCCCAAGCTTGCGCACCCCAACGGACTCCCAAGTTGTTTCCTGGGGTGCGTGGTTCAATTTTAGTTGCTTTAGGGTTTAGGGTTTACAGGGCTGGGGCGTGCCCTGGGGGGGGGGGTGGGGCATTTAGACTTTTTGGTAGATCCAATGCCAGGTTTGTATGGCCTGCCTACTAGAGAAGCCTATGCCAAATGCCTTTAACAACCTTTCAGGGGTCTTGTACGTGTGCTCAGGTGCTCTGTTGTGTCCCTGCCATTCGCACCATTCGCCCAGAAGTAGCTAGTTGCCAAGGGCAGAACAGGAACAGCCGAAACTAGTGCCGACTTGGGCTTTAGGACTTCGGGTATAGGGCATTTCGGTGAACCTCCCAATGCATCTCTGCAACGCATCCTTGGTATGTCAAAGTGCGAAATGGACATGCACAGAATGCAGGCTGTACGGATCCAACGTGGAGTTGGGAAAGTGGTCCCCCCCTGAGATTTTGTCGGTGTGTCTGTGCACAGAAACATGCGCGCCGAAACCAAAAAGTCTGCAGAGTTCAGCTGCGGCTTTGGTGCGACTAGATGCCCAACCTTTCGGGCTTCAGAACGACCTTGAAAACCAGAAGAAGAGTGAGCCGTAGTGTTATAGTGTTCAACGTTGTCAGGACGCAGCTGAGGGGGACGCTAGACATCAAGGCAAAGGAGGCTGGTGATGGTGAAGCTTCACACCGCCGTCCGCGTTGCAACATGTCAGAACATGGTGTCTTGAAGTATAGAAGGTTCATGGGGAGTTATAAGTGCGGTTGTAAGTAGGGTAACTGTACTTGCAACTGGTCTTAACGCTCTTCAGGCTACATAGAACCCTACTTATAGCTACCCACGAACCTCCAAGCGGGGCTTGCGAGAGAGTCCTTGGCGAACAAAACCTGCCACTTAAACCCGAAACCCTAAACCCTGAACCCTAAACCCTAAACCCCAAACCCCAAACCCCAAACCCTAACCCTAGACCCTAAACCCTACACCGCTCTTGAGAGGCTCGCTTCTACGTGGATCGCCGCCTGGTCGCCTCCCAAAGATGGACACTCAGGAGAAGGGTTTGGGGTTTAGGGTTCAGGGTTCAGGGTTAGGGTTTCGGTCTAGGGTTTAGGGTCTAGAGTTTAGGGTTTAGGGTTTCGAGTTGGGTACTTCATAAGTAGGGTTCTATGTGGGGCAGCTATGGTTATGACCTTACTTACGCTACTTGTTTTGTATAGCCTCACTAGAAAAAGTGTAGTCATGAACCTTCAAGTATTCTGGGGCGCATCGACGCTCCCGCTCTGCTCCCTACCCAAAAGCAGGCTGAATTACTTCGGCCAGATTTATGGGCAGGTAGGGCGTGGTTGGGGGTGAGGGTTGCATCGGATCCCGCAAAACAACAAGCAGAGCGCGTGGTTGAAGCCTGTTGCTGTCAACGCTGTGTCCAATCAGTCTCATCAGAAGCCCTAGCGTCCCACAGTGATGCCGGCGCTGACTCCAAGTGCTCATGGGTTCAGAGCAAGGGGTCCTGCCAACAACTTTTATGAGGTTTGGGTGGAGCAGAATTGGGAGTGAAAATGTGCATGGCGCCAAGGTCAAAGCGCATTCATGCAGAATATTCACGTATAAATGAAGAAAAATAGAGATATTCATTTGTTTATGCAAATCTCATAGTATACATAGTAATAACAAGCATAAGAGCAAGAATATACAAGCACACAATATTGACATAAAACTGAGAAATCAGGACCAAGAGCGACTACGTACTTTTTGCGCCTAAACTTACCATTCAAGAAAATGCAAAAGCAGGTAACATGCATAAAAAGGCAGGCTGCAACCAAAAGAAGGCTTTGGGTATTCATGGTAAGAATCCAGGCTCTTACTGTACATCTATAAAACGTAAGGAATTTCACAGTGCAAAAAGCGCTGTAGCTGGGGACTTGAAATCCCCCTGGTTCTTCGTAGGGAATGAGGGAATTTGGGCCGTACATGTACCCTTAAGGGATCATACAGGGCCCTACTTCCCTCCCTACTAGAAACCCGAAAATTTTCTTATCTTCCTTACCAGCCCTACCTAGGCAGTAACTGCAGACAGACTGTCACCGCAAGTTGCTGCTCTGAATGGGGTTTAGGGGTTTAGGGGTTTAGGGGCTTTAGTGGCTCAGGGGTTTAGGGGTTTAGGGGTTTAGGGGTTTAGGGTTTAGGGTTTAGGGTTGCCCAGGCTGGGTGGATTTCGTTCCCAACACAAGGCAGCCGCTTCGCTGCGGCCTCGATTTCTTTTCTGTGGACGTCCCACAGGGACTCCAATCCCTAAACCCTAAACCCTAAACCCTAAACCGAGCGGCGACCTGCAGCTTTAAAACGGCCCAGGACTCGGAGCCGGCAGATCTGAGGCGCGATGTGGCTTTCTTGTCCGGCAGAAAATCCCCTTCCCCCTATAGTTATTCTTTTTTTTTAATAAGAATTATTCTTATTATTTTAAAAAGAATTATTCTTTTTATTTTAATAAGAATTATAAGAATCATAATCATAATAGTACTCATAATCATAATAGTAATCATCAGCATAATAAGAATAAGAATAGTACTCATAATAGTACTCATAATCATAATAATAATCATCAGCATAATAAGAGTAAGAATAATACTAGTAAACAGCAACAGAGGAGCTTGATGATAGTAGGATGTTATAGATGGGGGAGTTTGTAATGCAATACAGCACGGGGCTGTCAGAGGCAGGACGCTTTCAGTATTGCCGGGCTTATGCGGCAGTACGGAAGCGCATTGTTCCAAGAAGCTGCTCTGTGCGCTGAGAGCATGGACGCCTCGACCCTCACCCTAAGCTGGCTGGACTAGGATTAGGTTTAGGGTTTAGGGTTTAGGGTTTAGGGATGGGGCCCTGCAGCATACGGAAACAGATGTATCACCTTGTGATGAAGGCAGACCCCCACTTCCATTTCCACGGCGATGTTCGCGACGCGTGTTCCTCAAACACGGGGTGGTGCCAGAGTTAAGCTTTGAACAACAACCTCCAGAAGCCTTTGAGGTTGTGGTGCTGGGTGGTGCCCCCGGAGTCTGGCGATGTCCGTTGACGAGTCGAGAAGTTTGCCACTTTTTGTCACGGCTGAGGTCGAAGTCTTGGGGACGAGGATATTTCTGAGGAGCTGGCGACGATGGTGAAAGATCAGGCCTGGCCATGTGTTCAAGTATGTATTTCAGAGCCTGGCCGTGCCGTGGCTTGCTGCCGCACATTTCTTGAACAAGGGGGCTCGCCGGAGTTCTTTGAACCCTCGCCAGTGTGGCTTCAGCACCCTTTCGAGCATCTTCTATTATTTGCTTAAGAACCCCAAAAGAATAAAACCCGATATATTACCCTGAATAAGGAATCACACTTTTTTTTACAATTTTTCTGGGTTCTGAAGCAATTAGCAGTCTTCAAGTCGCCACCAGGAGCGCAGCCAGTCGGAGATCTTGCAATCCCTGCAGAAGCTTCCATCGCTCCTGCGTCGGGAGCTCAGGGTTTAGGGTTTAGGGGTTTAAGGTTTAGGGTTTGGGGTTTAGGGCTTAGGGTTTAGGGTTTAGGGTGCAACCACGAGTCCAGTTCTGCGAAGCCGAGTGCCCTTTCATGCATGCTGAGGACAAGGGAAGGGTGCCGGCCTAAATCGCAGTCCGGTCGTAGTCCCTGACCACGGAACGCATGGGCTTCCCAGCAAGATTTTCTTCCGTGACCCGCGGAGGCAAAGGCCTTGGCCCTGCGCAGAGTGCGTTGAGCTCAGCATTGCGCTGGGCTTCAGCCCGGAGCCCAGCAGGTGCGAAGTGCAGCAAGGCAGGGCCCAGCGCCAGTCCAAAACCATCTTTTCCAGCATGGGCTATTATAGCCTATAACCCCTGAAAAAGGCCCTTTATAGGGTTGATTATGGGGGATTATAGGGCCTAATCGCCCATCCTGGTTCGGAGGTCATTGTTGCGAATAGTATATTGATTACCATTACAAGTACTACTCTTGTCAGTATTTATGCGAGGTTGCTAGCTGCATGCTTTCTACCTGCTGTGGCCAAATGGTTCCGCATTCGACCGCTCTTCCGATCCCAGCTTAGTTTGCTTCTTAGTTTCAACCAGTTCCAGCCATCGACAAGAGTGACAAGAGGACTTAGCCAAACCAAGAAGGCCTTGTCTATCAGAAGTCGAAGCCCTAAACCATAAGCCCCACACCCGCTAAACCCTCTAAACCCTCTGAACCCTCTGAACCCTCTAAACCCTCTAAACCCTCCTAAACCCTCTAAACCCCTCTGAAACCCTCAACACTAAACTCACTAAACCCTAAAGCCCTCAGCCCGCAGCAACAAATATCGAATCCGGCCTGAGCCTGCCATGGCCCGGCCGCCCTGGAGCCAGCCCGCAGGTGCCCTCCCTTTGGCTTGGCATGTGTATATATATATATGTATATATATATATATCTGTGAATTAGATACACTGTATGAATATATATATATATATATATATATAGATCAATATATATATATATATGTATATATGTGTATCTATATATATATATATATGTATATATATATATATATATATATATAGTGAAAGTATGTATATATATATACACATGTGTGTAGAACCCACATAGGCCTATTTGTTTTGCATAAGGGCTCCCAAGTCCACCCCGTTGTGCCCATGTCAGTACCCTTGGCAGGTGCAGCGGTCGAATGGCTGAGCCAATCTGGGCCGGGAGCCCCAGTAACCCTAAGCCCTAAACCGGCTTAGGGTTTAGGGTTTAGGGTTTAGGGTTTAGGGTTTAGGGTTTAGGGTTTAGGGTTTAGGGTTTAGGGTTTAGGGTTTAGTGTACCAAAAAAATGGTTCTTCTAAGATTCTCAGCCCTGAACGCACTAGACCCTAACCACCCGAAAGATCCCTAAGCAAACCGCAAACACCCCGAGCACCCCAAAGGACCCGAAGCAAACCGCAAACCCTAAACACCCTTAACAAACCCTTTAGTTCACAGACCCCATTTTGGCTGAAGCCATTGTGGCGCCAGATTTGTGGTCCAAGCACAACTTCAATTCTCGACCGCCATTGCATCTATGGCGACCCGCGCGCCGCTCTTGGCCAAGGAGGGCAAGGCCCAGGCCCACAGCAAGGCCTCGATCTTCTATGGCGCGGATGAGTACCTCGAGGAGCTCAAGCGCAAGTATGAGCATCTTGGTAGCCCAGTGGTACCCTTTTCCCTTTTTTTTGTTGGTTCAAGGATTAGCCAGCCAAAAACGGGTGACCTTATTATTATATGGTTACAGGGGTACCAAGGCATGATCACGAGATCGCCGCTCTCAAAAACGCACTGCCTGGTGAAGGAGACCCAAATGCAGCAGGCGTTGCGCAAAGCAGCGACAAGATGCTCTCGGTTCAGAAAAACAACGAAAACAGGAGTCTGAAGACCAATCGGCTTTTCCCGACCCCGAACAAGCCAGACCCCATGCCGCAAAACTTGGCGTTCCTTTTCACCAAGATTACGCCTGAGCAAATGATATACATGTGGAATGTGCTCACAGCGATCTTTTTCAGCCAAGTATTGATGGTAATCGCCTATTGCGCAGCCTTGGCTTGCTTCCCAGACTTTTGGTGGACTTGCACGCTGTGCTTCGGCATCCCGTTTTCGTACATCGCCATCCAGCAGATCTACATCGATCATGATGTCATGCACGGTGCGACCTTCCCCGTGTACGAATGGCAGCGCTTCTTGACCCACCCGTTTCTTGGGAATTATTGGGAATATTTTTGGATTGTTGGGTACTATAACCCCGGGCCCCTAAGAAACCGCTAAACTTACAATTTGTGCTAGGGTTCCAAGTTCAGCATAGGTTTGCGGACTTTTTCTCCCTTCCGTGGGAGGAGTTCGTGCTGGAACATAACAGGCATCACGCGTCCACTGTGGACTTGCTCATCCAGGGCGAGTTCGGCTGGGACCCTGAGGAGTTCCACTATGCCTTGCAGCAGTGGGCAGGGCCATGGAGCTCCAACTGGTACAAGTACCTGCTCACCGTGCCGTTCATTCCTGTGATCCACTTTTTTGGCTTGAACGACACCGGATCCCTCTTCGCCCTGGAGTGGTGGATGCACTTCCCGGATGAGGGCGCGGGCGGCAAGTGCAACAAGGAGTTCTGGAGCAAATGGGTTCCTCGCCGCATCAAGCACAATGCTTTTGTCCTGTCCCTCTGGGCCTTCGTGTGGCTGCTCGGCACCTACCCTTTGGGACGCCCCTTGAGCGAGGGCTGGCGCTTCATGTTCACCGTGTCATTCTTTGCCCGCATTGGGTTCTCCGCGGCCTGGATGTTCATCACCAACTTCACGCACTCCCTTCCCTGGAACGAGTTCCTCGCGCAGGATCCGGGCCGTACCTGGCCAGTGCTGCACAATGTCATGGCCATGGTTCTGGGTGGCAAGCACCGCTGGAACGAGATGCTGTTCCATGACGTTCACCATGCGTTCCCCAACGCTGTCGGCACTCTGAGCCAGCGCGGGCGCTTCCATGGCTGGGAGAAGGTGCATGATGCTGCGGCCGAGGTTCTTCACCGCGGCTTGTGGAAGGCAAATGGCGATGAGGAGACCCAGATGCAGAAAACTCAGAGGAAGCGCTCCCTGATGATGAAGCAGGGCAAGTAGACTCATGTACTCATCAGATTTTCATGCCCCGCAAAAGCTGTGATCCTTGTACAGCACTGTGGGGGCCTCCCTTATACAGGGATCTAGTTGTACAGCCGCACAAGTGCGGACCTCAACACTCTGCACCTGAAGGTGCAGGGAGGCAAGAATTTCGCTACAAAAGAACCTTTCGGAACGCTTTTCTGCGATGGCTTTATGTAGGCACCAATTCTCCCATTCTCTTTGAGTGACCAGATCCTCTGTTCCCTGCGATGTGGCCTTTCTGTCAGCTAGGCGCCCTAAGCCCTAAACCGTAAACACTTGGGATGTGCCCCCTTATCCTAACAGTCCTTAATAGGGATTCTAGTACCTATTATAACCCCTATAAAGGAGCTGTTAGTCTAAGGGGTCTAGTACCCCCCTATGGTCTAGTACCCCCCTATTATACCCTTATGAAGGAGCTGTTAGTATAAGGGGGAACATCCCAAGTAGACACCCTTTTAGGAACCCTTAGAGCCTTAGAGCATCCTCGGGTCAGGTTGGCGTGCGTCTTCGCCCGCTCGTCAACCACGAGATCGGCCAGGGGACCCAGTCAGCTGCACAAATGACCCAAAGAGGTTTTACTACTAGTTGCTTAAGAACCCCCTAAAAAAATATGAAATATGCTCCCGTTTATTACCCTCATAAGGAATATTTGTTTTATGTTTTGGGGCGGGTTCTTCAGCAAATTGTCGTTTCGGGTTTGGGGTTTATAGGGTTATTAGATACCCACAAAACATGTAGGCTTTGGGTTCTGAGTTTGTATGAAGGTGTATTGTAGTATCGTGCAGTATCACCGAGGGAAGCCGTGTCAGATGAGTTTCCTTGAGGCCAAGAGAAATGCCTGAACATCGAGGCGAGGAATGCACGGGTCGTCCAACTGAGATGAGGGACGATGAGCTATGCAGGCTTTCCCGACATCGGGGCACTTTTTTTTGTTGTTCCCGCAGTGTTCCTAAAGTCAGGATCATCGTACTTTGTGGCATATATATATATATGAAAATGTGTTTACTTATTTCTGTATTTGTTGGGATATAACTCGCAGACCGCAGGCACTCGGGGGTTTTGGTTTGGGGCTTCGGGTTTAAAAAAAGAGAAGAATTCACGCAGAAGCCTGGGAGTTCACAAGAGGCCATATGTGGGAACAGAAATGCTCATGTGGCGTCAGGGCAACGAAGTCTCCATTGTTGAGGATGCCATCGACACGGACCGCAAGGCCTCGATAACAAGCTGGAGTCTACATGGGTTTAGGGTTTAGGGTTTAGGGACTCTGGGCCCTCTTTTCTGGGCGGTTTCGACGTGACTATAGGGTCTTTTTTTTCTACGTTGCACCCAACAGGGTGCATAGTCCCTAAGCCCTCAACTCCCTCTACCAATATTCGGCAAAAGTTGGAGGAGAAAACCCTTGCATCAGTAAACGGATCCTACCGGGAACCCGAAACAGGGAATCCCACGAGTATAGTAGGAGTATGAGGGGAATACCCGGACCCCATTAATTATTTAACAGTCCTGTAGAGGCATTATAGTACCCCCCCCCCCCCCCAAGTATAATCCCTATTAAGGAGCTGTTGGCGTCCCAATATATTTGGGAGCCGTACGGAAACCCCCATAGAAGGACCTTGGTAGGTATACTCCTATTCAAAGCCCTAAACCCTAAACCCTAAACCCTAAACCCTAAAGTCCCTTTATTCAGGTCGCGGTCACATCCGACTTTGATCGGAAGTCGACCTTCGCCTTCGATGCCCCGCGGCATAGACCCGGAGAGCCGAGTTGCTTTTAGCAAGGAATTACTGGATCAGGCAAACTGGCCCTTGGCTGTGTGCTTCTCTAACCTAGGTCGCCATGGACAGCACGGACGAAAGCAGTCCCTCCTTCATTTCGCAGGACACTGCCGCAACATGCGCCGAGACGTCACACGAATTGCATGTGGGCATCGCATGGCGTCATACACTTCATGCAGTTCGGCAGCAACTGCTTCGTTTGTAAGCTAGCCGGTTCTGCCACGATCCGCCTCTTTCACAGGTTCGCGGACACAGAAAATAGGGCATTCGCTTGAAGCTTCTTTCCATGAACCATTTTCCAGACATGTGCAACAACCACCAGTGTACTTACTTTCTCGAAGAAGCTACACACACGACGTACGTGAAAAGGGTACGGCGCCAAGCTCGGAGTGAAAGGCGATTCGGTGTCGCAGAAGTGCGAACATTCCGGGCACTTCCTCCCAGGTCACTCGAAACTCCTCCCAGCAAGTCTGGTTTTACTTGTATGACAGCGCGGTGCTTCTTGGCCTCGTCATGCCTTCTCTTGACGCCTGCTATCCAACCAGGTACCCTAAACCCTAAATCCTAAACCCTAAACCAATCGGTCCACCACGCGCCAACGATTGCGAGTTTTTCCTCCCGTAACCTCGACTTGACCCTGCGGATGCGGGCGCTGGATGTGCGTGCAGTGCGGGTGGCGAAACCCTAAACCCCACCGGCATTTTTCGTGATGTGTTCAACGTAGCGCATCCGGTCCCGGTAACCTCGACTCGACCCTGCGGAGCGGGCGCCTGATGGTGTGTGCAGTGCGGGTGGCGAAACCCTAAACCCTAAACCCTAAACCCTAAACCCTAAACCCTAAACCCTAAAGGAGAAGTGCTACGAGATCATGGGCCGACGGATGGTGGGGCACATGCTGCAGGCGAGATGCCAGAGATGCCTTGGCTGTTTAGGGTTTAGGGTTTAGGGTTTAGGGTTTAGGGAAAAAGGGTGCTCAGAGTGAGTGACGCCCATGCAGGGCTTCAACACCTGTCTCTTCTGCTACGGCCAGACGGGGACAGGAAAGACGACCACGATCATGGGCAAGGCCCGAATAATACGTGCGCTCACAGTTCGGGGATCTGGGGGGAGCTTGTCTGGTGGCTGCGAGGCATCTTTAAAAGCGTGCGGAGTCTTACAAGGTCGAAGTAGCCGGGCCAGATTTGTTGGATGGCCCAGGAATAGGCACGCACTTCCGAGTGGTGGTTACAGCCATGATTCCGCCGGCAGCCTCCCTCCCCTTCTCAACGAGTTTCGGTCCATGACCGGTAGGCGCAGCCAAAGTCGGAACGCGGCCTTCTCATGCGACTCTCGGCAGAGACTGCATGGCCCGGGGCGGTGTTTGAAAGGCAATATGCCTGCCCCAAGTGGCCTTTGTAGAGAAAGCACGCAGAAGGCATACCGGCGCTTGCATCTCAGAAGTGAGTGGAATCTGTGTCACCCAGGGCTTGTGGACGATGTGTTCGAGGAGGCAGGAATGCGCGAGTGCTGCAAGCATCGCAGAACTTAACCCTAAACCCTAAACCCTAAACCCTAAACCCTAAACCCTAAACCCTAAACCCTAAACCCTAAACCCTAAACCCTAAACCCTGTGTGCCTCGCCTGGCTTGTCCGAGTGTGAGCGATTAAACCCTAAACCCTAAACCCTAAACCCTAAACCCTAAACCCTAAACCCTAAACCCTAAACCCTAAACCCTAAACCCTAAACCGACTCGATGGAGTTGTGATGGCTCCTTACCATCCTCCAGCCCAGGTGGACAAAGAGCAATCGAACTCCGGGTCCCAGGTTCACGTGGTCATGCAGATGCTCGAAGTCTACAATGAGAAGCCTGAGCCTGAGACCTCAAAGCCCTAAACCTGGAACCAAATGCTAAAACCCCTAGTATATGATCCCCAAGCAAATGCAAAGAAGGGAAAGCCATTTTCGGAAGCACAAAAAACATCAATATATGTTTATGCACAGAATAATAGTACTAGTACTAACAACAATAATAATAGTACTACTCATAATAATCATAACAATGATAAACATAGTAATCATAATAATCATCATAATAATAATACTAATAATCATAATAATAATAATATTAATAATTACACAATGCTTTGTGCGTGTGTGGGTCGCACTTCTACGTCATAATGCTTCCGTCTATCTTTTAAAGTCTTCAACATCGCGTGCTTGGAGGTTCATGGTACTCACTAACCACTTATAACGGTACTGATAACCCACTTATAAGCCCCTTAAGTGCCCTAATATGGTTATAAGTACAGTTATAAGTACAGTTATAAGTACAGTTATAAGTACAGTTATAAGTACAGTTATAAGTGGTTAATAAGTACCCTGAACCTCCAAGTGCTGAGGCTGAAAGACTTGCTGGCCACTTCGGACTTCGGGCCCATAGGGCCCGGCAGAAGCGCCCCAAAGAAGATCAACATCCACGTGCACCCGGACAGTTAGGGCTTAGGATTTGGGGTTTAGGGTTTGGGGTTTAGGGTTTAGGGTTTAGGGTTTAGGGTTTAGGGTAGAAGATGCACAGAAACTCTGAGTAGGGCACAGGCTTGTAGGGTTTGTAGGGGGTGTAGGGTTTAGTGTTTAGGGCATCGAAGAGAGTCTGGGCTTAAGAAAAGAGGGATGTGGAGGGGGCCCAGGTCGCAGGGCCACGAGCCGATTTTTGGGCATGTTCGGGCCGATGGCAGATGTAGGCTTTCCGAAGATCGTGGCCGCAGTAAGCTCTGTTCAATCACACCTTGCAATCCACTAAACCCTAAACCCTAAACCCTAAACCCTAAACCCTAAACCCTGCCAGGAGCTTGGAGTCTACCTTACGGGGGCCATTGAAGCACCGGCGGGTGCCTTAGAGCTGTTCATCGCCCATCGCGCAGGTCAGCGTGTGACAGTTGGTGGCATTGTGGGCCCACCCCTTGGCCCTTGTTTGCAAAAGCAAGCAGGGTTTAGGGTTTAGGGTTTAGGGTTTAGTTTAAAAAAAGGGTTTAGGGTTTAGGGTTTAGGGTTTAGGGTTTAGGGTTTGTGAGCAGGCAGGAGGCCAGGCGAGATTTGGAGCAACCTCGCTGGACCTATCTGGGCATGAAACAGAACTACTTCTTCTTATTATTATTACTACTACTATATTATTATCATTATTACTATTATTATTATGAGCGACACACAAGGAGGTTCACGCAGGCAAGAGCGAAGCTGCTCCCGCTTGCTCGGCCCTGCGCCGGTTCCGCGTACCACGTAGCCTCAGCACACCGTTTGGCTCCTGTAGCCCTAAACCCGAAACCCTAGACCCTAAATCCTAAACCCTAAGCCCTAAACCCCAAACCCTAAACCCTAAACCCTAAACCCCAAACCCCAAACCCCAAACCCCAAACCCCAAACCCCAAACCCTAAACCCCAACCCCTGAAACCTTGCTGGACCCCTGGGAGCCGCCAGGAACCGCAGCTCCCAAATTTGCGTTCGGCTCTGGGTCCCTGTTTCTCATCTGGCTGTAACATATTTGGGTTTAGGGTTTTGGGTTTTGGGTTTTGGGGGGCATTAAACCGACCCCCCATTCTAGTACCCTCAGAGGGAAATCTGGCAGTTTTCGCTTGGTCTTGCCTCTGAAAAGTTTAGGCTCAAAACAGAGGCACAACGCGGAGCGAATCTACTCTACTACTCCATATACTCAGATGGTGGGTTCGCTTGATCATGGTTCTTTTTGTTATTCCGATTTTCGGGTACCCAAAAGAACGGTCTCTAATCCTGAAGGTCAAAACGGCCGCTGATTGCATCAATGCGAAGCTCGGCTTCATCGCCTGAGCTAGTCAAGCTTGCCTAGAGCTGCGGGAGTACGAGAGTCAGCTGCATACTGCGAGATACAGTGAGAGTGCAATGATAGGCGTGTCTCAAGTGCCCGGTACTTGCTAGTAGAATCGCGTGGACCGCTGCAGCTGAGGATTGAATACGGCAACGCGATGAAGGCATTCCGACATTCCCACACCCCGCAGCACAAATGACTGCCTTGCAACCTTGGTTGGCCTGCACAAACCTGTCCTTGCACACCCCTTCCCTCTTAAACCCACCTTAAACCCCCCCTTAAACCCCGCTCGAAAACCTGCTTACACCCACCTTCAACCTTCAGTCCATTCACCTGAGAGGCAGTTTCGGCTACAGCCATGAATGCACAGAGCTCGCGCGGCCACACCGTCTTCAAGCTGAACATGGTGAAGGAGGCATTTTAGGGTTTAAGGTTTTTGGGGGATTAAGGTTCATCCCATGCCATTCATGTTGCATGTGCCGTGTCTTTTGAAGACAGTGGCGTCAGGGCGGCAAAGACAACCTGTCCACCACGTCGGAGGCAAGAAGCTCCGCATTCCCGATATCGTTGAGATATGTTGAGATCCGACTCCTGTACGTTCTGTGGGCAGTCTTCTGTTTTGGGTTGTGTCTTCGTCTTAATATTGCCCACAGCAATACGCGCGCCAAGGCATCGTCGCCTTCCGTAGAATCCCCGGGGCATGCATACCCCCAGCCCGGAAGGCTGTCATTGTGCTCGAAAGAACTTGTCAAGGGCCGAAAAGCTAGCCTAGGAGTGTAGCTTGGGAATGTTCCCCCTCATACTAACAGTCCCTAACAGGGATGATTGTACCCCTGATTATAATCCCTTTCAAGGACTGCTAGTAAAAAGAGGGAGCATCCGTGTGGGGTGTGAGGTTTAGGGGCCCAACGCTTCGATCACTCATGTTCGTCAGGTTTGCTTCGCGGACCTTGCCGGTCGGGAGAATGAGAAGACTACGCAGGACACCCGTACGGTTCCATTTTTGCTTTTCTACGATGATGCTAGTACGCGCTTGTACTATTCTATTACGTGGCGCCTTCAACCCTGGACCTAAGTGGCATTAAACCCAACACCCTAACACCCTAACACCCTAACACCCTAACACCCTAACACCCTAACACACACACGCACAAGCTCTGCATTGCGGCTCTCGAGTCAGCACCCAAGCATGGGGGGAAGCCGCAGGTCACTGGAGAGCGGTTTGTGGAGCTCAGCTTCATCAACAAGAGTCGCGACCCCACCTTTTCCCAATGGGGTGCAGGGTTTAGGGTTTAGGGTTTAGGGATGTTCTTTGTTGCATCTTGGTATCCGACCCTAAACCCTAAACCCTAAACCCTAAACCCTAAACCCTAAACCCTAAACCCTCTTGTCCTTGCTGGCCTGTCTTGTGCAGAAACGGCTCGCGGCGAGGCCTCCTGTACTTATCCGGCTGCATCCAGAGCCTGGGCCAGACAGGCCGTCGCTCACTGGTGCTTCGAAGGGGAAACCCTAAACCCTAAACCCTAAACCCTAAACCCTGACGGGTTTCTTGGCGAAGGGTTTAGAAAAAAGGGTCTGGAGGAGGTTGCGCCGTAAAGGGGGGAGAGGTCGGGAGTAGCCCACGCCTTCAGCGCCAGAAGTGGCGGAGGATGGAACCTGAAAACCTCGAAAGTTTCCCTATGCCCTAAATCCTCAGCTCCTGAAACCCCATGGGCATTGGCATGGTCCCTTACCTTGTTCATAAGGTTCTGAAGTATGGGCCATTGGTAGTACATCTGGTGTATATCAGGGTTTTAAAATAAGGGACCCAAATCGAAAACCCCTTGCTTTTTCCAGCCGAAATGCAAGAAGCTCTCGTGCTGTGCCTGCAGCTCATCGCCGACGCCAGACAGTTGCCGGGGCTGATGCTATGCGTCCTGGCTTCAGTTTAGGGTTTAGGGTTTGGGGTTGATTCAGGCATGAGTTGAACTCATATCTACACAGGTTCCGCCATCAGCAAATGGCACTTGCGACACTTGAGCGGGCATGTTGGGCGACGTGTGGTGACGTGGAAAAAGCACAAAGGGGAAAACAGTGAGAGCTTCAACAATCCTGGGCCATCTAAAAAAGTCAAAAACATGCCCCCCTACTGTAAACCCTAAACCCTAAACCCTAGACCCTAAACCCAAACCCTAAACCCTAGACTGCTCTTGCAAGGAAGCCGAAAGGCGCCGATATGTCCAGGCCGCCTGGCATGATCAGCAATTGGCCACCCCCGCTGCGCCAAAGTCCTACAAGTACATATCATGCGAGAGGTTCCCTAAACCCTAAACCCTAAACCCCAAACCCCAAACCCCAAACCCCAAACCCTAAACTTTCGATCCGAAGTCCGAAGCCTGCCTCGTGCGAGTGTGAGAGCCGAAACCCTACACCATAAACCATAAACCCTAACCCTAAACCCTAAACCCTAAACCCTACACCCTACACCCTAAACCCTAAACCCTAAACCCTAAACCCTAAACTCTAAACCCTAAACCCTAAACCCAAACCCGATATCTGTTTGCCGACGCCGGACAGCCGCTCAGGTTTCGCAACTCCAAGCTCACACTGCGCACCGCTCAGTTGGCACATGGACGCATGGATGTTGCTGGTGAGGTGTGGAAGCTCATAGAAGTGACATGTGAGCCCCCTAACCCTAAACCCTAAACCTTAAACCCTAAACCCTAAACCCCCCCACCCTGAGGCTTCTCTCCAATGCCTTGTCAGGGAATTCGAGAACCTCAATGATTGGAACACTGAGCCCGGCTGCGCCTTGGCAGAGATTGAGAGCGATTGAGGTGCCCACCCTAACCCTAAACCCTAAACCCTAAACCCTAAACCCTAAACCCTAAACCCTAAACCCTAAACCCTCTCATCTTGCAGATTCAGGGCTGGTTACAATCTTAGTAGGGTTGTAGGTGCCCTAAATCAGGTCAGAACCAGTTCTGGCTAAAAGTGCCCTACTTAAACATTACCCCTCTTATACCTACTCATGAACCTTCACATACTGTCTCTGAGCTCATGCATTCCTGCAGCGGGCATGGAGGCCGCCCACTTCGAAGAGAGCCACAACACGCTCAGGCACGCGTCCTTTCAATGGCGAATTGCTTCCTGAGCAGCTTTGAAAACTGACCGCGGAGGTTTGCGTCCACTGTCAAGACCATCAAGGTGCAGGCTAAAGCAGCGCGAGCTGTGGACAAGGACTGGGACCATCGGACCATCCGTAGTCGACGCTCGCTGCGATTGTAGTATGTGCCGCGGCCGCGTGACTGCAATTAACTTCTTTCACGGGTAGATTGCAGTCAACCTGCATGTGTTCATATAGGTGCAGATTGTGTTGGGGCGTTTGTGGCTCAAGCCCATGTACCAAGCCCCACAGAGGCTTTGGCTCGTACGATCAGATGCACAACACATCTTGGACCTTCCAAGTACAAGCAGCCACGACAGTGCACTGTACCCAGGGCGTTGCCGCTTGGGTTTAGGGCTGGCCCAGAGGCCCAGAAATGCAGGGGGAAGCCCGGGTGAAGGGATCAACTGCGCGATCTGCAGGGCAAGGTACCCCTTTTTATACCCCAAATAGAATGGAATCCCCTTAAAGGATCTTAAAGGGACCCCCCAAAAACCCCCCATGCTCCTTGGCACAAAAGCAGGCTTGCTTTTTGCCATGGCGCTTGGACCGCTTTCGGAGCCTTTGCGGCTACTGGACGGGCGGTTGATGCCCAGGTTTGGCCTTGGCGTTTACAGGCCAGGTCTTAGGGTTTAGGGTTTAGGGTTCAGAAAGTTTAGGGTTTAGGGCTCCAGGCCCCTGAATCTGGTCCCTTACCTTCTTCAAAGCCTTCTGAAGTATGGGCCCTTGGGTTTGATGGCCCTGGGGTATGTGAGGGGCATTTTGAGGGTCCTCCGAAGAAAGGGCCCATCACAAAACGGATCCTGAACTCCCCCTAAGACAAGGGGAACCCCCCCCCCCCCCCCGCTGGGTTTTCGCGCAAGTTCGCTGGGAAAGGAGGTTGTGCTTGCAGAGCATGATGTGCCCTGGCTGAGTGGCATGTGCACCTGCCTGAGAGGTCGAAACCCGGCCCAGAGACCTACAATGCTGTCAAATGGGCATTGGACATGGGATCCTCAGTTAAATTCAGGAAGCATGTAGAGGTCACGTGTATGGGCCACCAGACTTGCTTCATTATTGTTGTCATTATTATTATTATGATGATGATAATTTCTTAGCATTTTTATGTTAAGCATGCATGTATACACATAAATGTGTATGTGTACTTTGCACCAAGGATATCGTTTGGTAGATACCGCCGCCCTCTACCGCAATGAGAGGAGCGTGGGCGAGGTGGGCCGTAGCATCAGAGCGCCTTTGACTTTGAGAGGTCTTGGCCAGCGACTCTCAGGGTTTCATGGAGGGACCCCCAATATAGGTCCCCAAATAGTAAGATCCCACGTATAATAGGGACCCCAATAAGGTACCCTAAACCCTAGACCCTAAACCCTAAACCCCCCCATGTGGCATGTGCATGCAATCTAAAAATCTAGCCAGGCTATCCGGGATTCGGGGCTTCCTCGGGAAGATGTTTGGATCACCACCAAGCTCTGGGACAGCGTGGGCCCTGGATAGAGACCAGTACACATTTGTGCTATATAATATTATATTGTATTCAAGAAATTTATATTATATTGTATTGTAGTATGTCATATTTAGAAACATGTTAATGTTGATTTTCTTATTTCCACGCCTTCACATGCATACGTATGTACCTACATACATGCATACACACAGACTAGAACAGCACAGAATATGTAGGAATCGAGTTTAGCAGAGTAGAATCGACTCGCACACTTCCTGCGTGAGTTGTTGTGTGCGAGGGTCTGCAAGATGCGGAGCCATAGCTTGTTTTCACTGTCATGGTGAGCTTGGTAGCTGATTGGTACCGTTGTTGCCCTTTTTGTGCTCTAGGTCCGCCTATAAGTATAGAGGCAACCGTCCCCAAAAGGGATGCCCTCATAGGGTTTAGGGCTTAGGGTTTAGGGTTCAGGGTTAGATATTATTGCTGGCCTGGTAGTTGCCAGAGTTTCTGACTGAGACGCCTGTTTCGAGCGAGCGTGAGAGTCGAACGAACCTGCTCGTTTAAGGATATGCAAAGCTCACTTTTTGGTAGGCGTATTCTTCACAGACCCCTCGTGGGGTCCCCGCCGAAGGGCCCCCCCCCAACTGCACGTTGCCTGCCGTCGCCCTGGGCCCTGGGCCCTGGACCCTAAACCCTAAACCCTAAACCCTAAACCCTAAACCCTAAACCCTAAACCCTAAACCCTAAACCCTAAACCCTAAACCCTAAACCCTAAACCCTAAACCCTAAACCCTAAACCCTAAACCCTAACCCTGGCTCAACCCGAGGTGACCATGGCCCAGTCCTCAGACTGGCTGTGAGGTTAGGGAGTTCCCCCCGCCCCCCTTTTAGGATATGGGGGTTTACGCAAAGAGGGTTTAGGGTTTAGGGTTTCGCAAGACATCCAAAAACGGCGTCGCGCCACGGTAAGAGTATATGATCTTACTGCATGCAGCTAAGCAGTACACACAGTTCTTGCGAAGTCTGGTCAGGAGGCTGAAAGGATTTGTGCAGATTTGTCGTAGAAGTCCTTTCTCTAATATACACACATATATATATATACATATGTATTCATGTACTTTTTCCAAAATGTGTGCATGTATATAGATAAACATATATGTATACATCTACATCTATTCTTTGCTTAGCGACTTTTGATGCGGGTCTGCTTCAGGATACGAAGCCACCCTCAAGGCCTGCGCCAACAGCCTAGAGCAGCTTGGAGACTGGGCGCCACCAGTTCGTCCTTCTACGCAGGGTCTAGGGTTTAGGGTTTGCCGCCTGGTCCCTGGACTGTCCCTGGGCACGCTGTGGCGAGGGCTCCAGGACCCCCTGGGCTGGGGACCTTACTTTTTTAGGGACCAGTACTGGTTTCGAGGAGAGGAGAACCCATCGTGGGCGCTACCGACCCCCATGCTGTGGGAGGTGGGCGAGCGACCTGGGTCTGCTTGCGCCATCGAGGGCTTAAGCGCCGCCCCCGTAGGGGCGCGGCCTAGGCCCTGATTAGGGTTTAGTGTAGCAGTCCTAGCCGTAAAGAAGGGTTTAGGGTTAGGGTTTAGTTCTGGCAACATTCAAAGGGGGAGGGGATTGCTTTATTAGGCCTGTGCGGGGGGTTGAGGGTCCTTGTCTCAAGTAAGGAATGAAAAAAGCCTAGAAGGGTCCTTTCATCTTATTCCCCTATAGAACCCCAATGTTTCCCAACCCTAAACCTTAAACCTATACCTAAGTAGCCCCTACCTACATGACTCCTGGTCCCTTGTAAGGGTCCCTCCTTTAGTCCCCTCATTGTCCTCGGAATCGCATTTCGTCGTTGCTGCCATGTAGGGCTTCAACTCAACTCCCCCGGATGCATGGTTTAGGGTTGAGGGTTTAGGGTTTAGGGTCTAGGGTTTAGGGTTTAGGTTTAGGGCCAAAGGGTATTCGGGTGGCCAAGGATCATCGTACATCGACTTGTACTTGCAGCTTGGACAGCCATTTTCCCCTGCCTAAACGGCCAGTCTTGATCTGATGGCCGAAAGCCTTAATATTCACAAGGAACAGCAAAGTTCCGGAGAGCGCCAAATCGCCCAAGAGCTGAAGGCTTTGGTAAGTCAAAACCCCTTAAACCCCGTAAACCGACTCTAAACCCCCTTCACCCCCCAAACCCCCTAAACCCCCCCACCACCCCCCCAAAACCCCCCCCTAAATCCCAAGCCCAGACGTTTCAGGATCCACTCTCAATCGCCCAGGACCTGAAGGCTTTGGTAACCCTAAACCCTAAACCCTAAACCCTAAACCCTAAACCCAGGATCCACTCTCCCAACACGGGGAAGCTGGTGGAGACCTGGGACGCCCTCATCGAATTGAAAAAGCGCGGCCTGGCCACTCGGTAGCTGAGTGGGGAGGCCCCCCCCCTTGTTTTGTGTTAATTTAGGGGTTGGGGTTTAGGGTTTAGAGTTTTCCTTTTTTTGTTGGGGTGTGGGTTTTGGGGTGTGGGGTGTGAGGGTTGGGATTTAGTAGCTGAATGGTGCCTTTTTGCCTCTTTTTTCTTGGCCGGGCGGGGGGGGGGGGGGTCTGGGTTTCCTTCTCAGGGTCACCAATAAGTAATCTTGTCATTATGATTGGCATTGCTCTTCTTCTTCTTCTCGCATATTGAGCATGATTATTTGGTTTCTTGGGCCGCCAAGGTCAAGTCGATTGGCGTGTCGCCACTCGGCGGAGTACTCGACAACTCCGGCTGAGACTGACCTTGTTCAGGGCTTCTAGAGGGCTGAGGGTAGTTGATCCAGCTTCACGAAACGGTTCTTGCCCTAAGCCTTATAATCCCCTAAGCCCTAAAACTATAACCCCTAGACCCCCTTTAAGGAACAACTTTATGCAACCGCCCCCTACAGGCGGTTGTGGGCAAAACGCACGAACTCCCCAGACTCCCGCCTTGGGTTTCGGGTCTGGCCACCAAGTCCTTTGACCCTACGTAAGCCCTAAGCCCCAAACCCCAAACCACTTCTTTCAATGATGCACATACCCGGAATGAGTCCCTGCAATGTGGGCCTGAGTGTCAGGCGGACAGCAAAACAACAAAAGCCACACCTTAAACCTTCACCGAAGCTCTGGGCAAAGGAATTTCGGGGTGCCCCATCTGGAAGCGTTGCGTGCATCTGGTCGAGAGCTGCCTGTTGTTAACCAGATTGAGACCAGGCTGCAACGGGGCGGGTTGGGGGGTGTGGACTTGATCTGAAAAACATCAAGCAATTTCCATGAAGGCCCTGAGCCTCGTTTGTCTTATTGGTGGAATCGAGCTAGGGTTTAGGGTCTACTGTAGGGTTGAGGGGTGCATGATCGGCCCATGGCCGATAGTTTCATCGGCGATTCGAGACCTTCTACTGCCTTACCTGCCTTGCGGCCGAAATCCGGATTCAGGAAATGCACCCCATGGTGTACCAGGAGCGAAAGCCTGTGCTGGAGCCCGGGTGCCCGGCGATGTTTGGCTGCGCCTCTGTGACCTCCAGGGAGAAACCCTAAACCCTAGACCCTAAGTAGCAGAAAGGTTCCAAGGAAGCGTGACTCCTTGAGAAACCCTCAACCCTCAACCTTAAGGGTCAGACGGGTGGCCAAAAAAAGTCCCTAAGGTTCTGCGCGCTTCATGGCATCAAGATTACGGCCTATGGCTCCATGTTCTCCGGCCAGCAAGAGCAGCTGGCAAGGACCGAACGTGACAGTCAGCTGAGCATTGATCGCTAGAGTCCTATATTCCCCTTGGGAATATTTTTTGTTTAGATAAAACCCAAGAGGATATTACAGATATTGTTTTTATTCAGGTTTTCTAAGGGGAGTATAGGCCTGAAAGGGAGTATTAATTGAGTATTCAGCATGATTTCTCCGTGGTGGTCATGAATGAAAGATGCTTGGAGCTGCCCGGATCGCCCGCAAAAACTATCTAAACCTGAATCAAATTCCTTCCAAACGTCATGAAAGTGGGTGTACGCCTTGTCCTAAGTGAGGCCTGGTCAGTTGAACTCCATAAACCCTGTGTGGAGGAAGGAGCTCGCGAAGGTTCTGGCAGCTCACCCCGGCCTCTCGGACTCATCGTGGGGTGATCCACTAAGGCAGCATGTCAGGGAGAGAGCCCCGCATTCCTGCAGTTAGCAAGATAGATCGTTTCGCATGTGCCCTGCGCGGCAGGCACACACACACAGACATTTACTAGCACACGTTTATATATGTATATATATTATACACATCTGCAACACTCGGAGAGGTCGTGAGAAGACATGGGGTGAGTGGTGGAGTGACAGAAATGAAAGGTAAAACGGCGCCCCAAGTGTTGCTGCGATGGGCCTGCAGATGGACTTTCAAGTGATACCGAAGCCCTCTCCTGCGTTGGTACTTGGAGGTTTAGGGTTTACGGTTTAGGGGTTGAACTTGGAAGTTCATGACATGGGTACTCATAAGTAGGGGCTCTAAGTAGGGTAACTATGGTTGTAACCTCTTTTTAGGGTACTTATAACCCCCAAATAAGTACCCATGACCTTCAAGCAGGTGCAACAGAGTGCAACAGGTTGTGTGTTGAATTGCCGATGGCACAGCTCAGGAGTGTTCGCCAGGAGCGCCTGCAAGAAAACATGCCACCCAGTGCGCAAGTTGAGAGACCTAAAACCCTAAACCCTAAACCCTAAACCTAAACCCTAAACCCTAACAAAAACTCGAAGCTTAAGTTGATGGCCTGCTGCGTGCGAGTGCTTGAGTCGAAGCCCTAAAGCAAAAATGGGTTCCCGAAACCCTAAAACCCTAAACCCTAACCCTAAACCCTAAACCCTAAACCCTAAACCCCCAAACCCTAAACCCTAAACCCAATCAGTTTCCCTTACTGAGGAATCTGCAGGACTTCGAGCTGACTCCCTCCGAGGTGCCCGAGCCCCCTGAAGTTTTGGCCTTGTGTTTGAGGACACATGCGGAGTATCCTAGGGAACAAGAGGGTTTAGGTTTAGGGTTTAGGGTTTAGGGTTTTAGGGTTTAGGGTTTAGAGACACATCCAGGCGAGGATTCACGCAAGCCTGCAGCAAAAGGGTTTAGAGATGCAGAAAAGGGTTTCGGGTTTAGGCAACTTGGCACTAGGAATTTGGACCTTTGTTTTGGTAGGTCCCCGCACTGAAGATTCCATTAAGAGTGCCAAGGTAGCATGATGACAAGTGAGGGCCTTGGTCTTCTGTTTAGGGTTTAGGGTTTAGGGTTTAGGGTTTAAGGTTTAGGGTTTAGGTCTTCTGGTTTCTGCATCGCGCCCCCGGATCAGATGCAAGCGCTCGGTGCAATGCGCGGAGCTCTGCACGAGTACTGGTCGCTCGGCATGTTTAAAACTGCGACACACACGACTTTAGATGACTTTACCCCAAGGCCGCTCGCAGAGCTTCCTGGCCTTGCGCGAGAGGTGAGCGACTAAACCCTGAACCCGAAACCCCCACCATAAAAGCCCATGTTCACGATCTGCGAGGAACCCACTCAAGAGCAAAGTTGACCTTGGGCGCACGGATATGGGGCACCTGGCGTGTTGGCAGAATCCATGAGCAGCCACATTCAGAGCACCTGAAGAACCCCAGTTACCTACTTGTTTTTGCCAGGGTTTAGGGTTTAGGGTTTAAGGTTTAAGGTTTAGGTTTCCCTTCTCTAGGACTCTTGAAGGTCAAAAGCTGGTTTTTGAGGTTCTTAAGGTAGGCAAGGGTGTCCCATATGGAATTAGGTACCCCAAAACCCTATTTAGAAGGGTTTTGGGTACCTAGTGCCATAATGTAACTACAAACGGGACCCTCTGGATGTGCTGGCCTGCCGAGGAGTGGCGCTGCGCCGGGAGCTGAAAGCATTGCTTTTGAAAAAAGCCCACGCGCGCTTCTCTTTGCGGCACAGAGGCTTTTTTTTCGGTTTAGGGTTTAGGGTTTAGGGTTTAGGGTTTAGGGTTTAGGGGTTTAGGGTTTAGGGTTTAGGGTTTAGGGTTTAGGGTTTAAAAAGGTACCCTGACGGCCGCCTTAGAGAGGACAGCCTCGTAAAGCAGCTCCAGAAGGAGGTGCAGCAACTCAAGCTCCAGCTCGAGCAGGTGGGGGCTGCCCTAAACCCTAAAAAACCCTAAACCCTAAACCTAAACTAAACCCTAAACCCTAAACCTAAACCCTAAACCCTAAACCCAAACCCGGGAGGGGAGGGCTCGGATGCAAAAGGGGGGTGCCTTCTTGGGGTCCTTATGATAAGGGGATCCTATTCCTTATTGCGGTCCTTCATTAGGGGCCCCTTATTATACTTATTGCCGCAAACCCCCCCCCCCCCCGCCCGCCCTCCCCCCCAAAATAGGAGTCGTATGTCAGATAATGCGAGTTGAGGGAGATCAGACTGCAGCCATTGCAGCCGTGCCGTGCACAACATTACAACGTCTGAGCTCCTTGCGCCAGGCTCGTGAGAAGCACGATGACGAGGATTCTTGGGGAGCAGCGGTGAGCCTGTTGAACCGCTCCATTAAACCCGGCAATCTCCTCTTACCCTGAACCCCTAAACCCCTAAACCCCTAAAACCCTAAACCCTTAACCCTTCAAGAGGCCTGCAGCTAAGACCCCGCTTTTCCGCGAGGACATTAGCGCCATCAGCGTCCAGCTCGAAGCTACTACTGCCATCGTGGCGGCTCAGACGCGGCCCGGCGGCATTTCGCATCCTAGGTAGGATAAGGGGGGCCCTTAAAAGGGTTACCCCTTCTGAACTGCCTCTCTTAAGCAGGGACCTTATTCAGAGGGTCTATATCCCCAAGGGTCCCCCTATTTAAGCCTGCCTGTCTTTCGTGTCTTGGGCACGACTTAAACCTGTCTTTTGTGTCCTGACCTTTTTTTGTTATGATTCCTACACCCTAAGCCTAAACCTCGTGAGGAAGTGCCTGAGAGGCAAGAACTAAAGAACCCTATATATCCCTATAAACCCTATAAGCCTGTAAACCTCTACAGCCCCATAAAACCCCCGTAACCCTATCAGCCCTACAAGCCTGTAAGCCCCTATAAATACGCCTGTGAACCCCAACGAATGCCCCGATAAACACCTATAAATATTCCTATAGCCCTATAAGCCCCCCAAAAAGCCTCTATATGGGCCAGCAGAGGCGCACGCCCCCCTCCCCCCCCCCCCCCCATGGTATCCCCGCCCCCCCGCCCCCCCCTGTGGTTCATGGTGGGTTTTGGGTCCCCCCCCGTTGTTCATGGTCTGTGGTTCATGGGTTTGTGGTTTAGGGGTTTAGGGTTAGGCTGTAGCGTTCAGGATTTTTCACTCTGGTCGGTTCATTGTGGGTTTAGAGTTTAATCAGGGTTCAAGGTTTGGGGGAATGGTAGGGTTACGGTTTCCCCTCCCCCCCTGTGGTTCGTGCTGAGTTTACGGTTCAGGGTTCAGGGTTAAAGCGGCTAAGGTTTCGGGTTTACCCTTCTCCCTCCTGTTGTTCATTGGTGGGTTTAGGTTTTAGGGCTTAGGGTTCAGGGTGTGTGGTTTAGGCTGAGGTTTCTCTGTCCTCCCCCGTGGTCTCCGCGGTGGTGTTTTTAGGGTTAACAGGCAGGGTTGGGTGGGGACGCCATGGGGCGGGGGGGATACCATTGGGGGGGGGGGGTCGATTACGCGGAACGCGGGCGCATATAAACCTGGAAGCCTCTATGAATACCCTTACAACCCCATAAGCCCTCTGACCCTAGACCCTAACCCCTAAACCCTAAACCCTAAGCCCTAAGACTGTCCTGAGGCGGGATTGGACACATTTCCAGCAGGCCGTGGTCTGAAGCTGCCGGGGCAAGCTTCTTCCCCTAAACCACTGCGAGCGGAGTGTCTGGCTGGCTATCATGTCATACCTTTTCATACCTTCTCATACCATGATCGATCTAGAATACAAACATACATATAAACAACTTAATTGTAATAATAAATATAGATATGAATATAAATATAAACAAAATTATAAATATAAATACAAATATAGGTATAAATAAATATATATATATATATATATGTATATGTATATACATATACATGTAAGGCCGTAACGCCATTTTGGACCTTTGAGGTTCCGATTCTTTGCGGGTAGTATCTTGACTACTGTTTTGCACCATCTTGGTCAGCAGGAAAGCGCCGAGCTCAGCAAGAAGCGGACAAAGACCATGGAAAGCCTCATGGCCCACTCGCCCCGGACTAAGATGAATGCGGCATGTAGGCCTCTCGTTTAGGGTTTAGGGTTTAGGGTGGCCTTGCCCTGAGTCTGTGATGATAAGGGTAGTCTGGATTCAACAAGGTTCCGCTTTGCGCAACATGCTTGACATGACCATGGGATACCATGCGCATACCACAAAAACGCCTGCGTGATGATGGCTGCTGCTATGCCTTTCTCTGCAACAGTTTCGGTCCAACCCTTCAAAACTGACGTTAAATCACTGGTGATGAGGTCTAGCCAAGTGGGAGACTGTCCGCTTCCATACCTTGCGAACTACTCGGAGGATTGTGGGGTAGTGCCCTAAACCCTAACCTGAACCCTAAACCCTAAATTCTTGCATGACCTTTCTACTCCCTGCAAGCTCTGGCTCCACGAGGCGAGACACCATGGTGCCAAACAGAACTGTTTAGGGTTTCGGTCTGACGAGCGCCGTCGTGGCAGCTAGCATTAGGGTTTCGGGTTTAGGGTTGAGGGTTTGAGGGTTTAAAAAATCTCCTGAAGTCCACGAGACCCACACACACACACATTTGCAGCGTTGCGCCGCGTGCTGCAGGACCCGCACCTGGCATTCAGACTCGTGATGCATGTCGGGGCCTTGTGGCATGTTGTCCCTAAGCCCCAAAACCCCCCCAAACAACCCAACAACATACGCCCGAGGGGTGCTCGTGAAGCCAGGCAGCCCGAAACCCTAAACCCTAAGACCCTCAAGTCCCAAAACATTGCGACTAGGGGTCTTGAAGGGCTTGGGGCTGGAATTGTTTCGCTTAGACATGGAGGTCCTTCCTCCGGTGGAGTGGACCTATAGCAGGTCCCAATAATTTTCGGCGTCCGTTGACGAGTCTTTCTTGCGGTTTAGGCTTAAGTCAAGTTTGGGGTAGCACTTTAGACCCCAAACCCTAAGCCCGGACCCCCCCCCCCTCCCAAAACAACAACGCTGAAACATCCTTTGTCCTAAACCTGCAACCGGTGGCGCGTCCTGGCACAAATCTGCTCTCCTGCCACTTTACGACCCGGTGGATCCAAAAGTGCTAGGGAGCTGTGTCTTTCAGGATTTATAGGGTTTAGGGTTTAGAGTTTAGGGTTTAGAGCTTGGGGTTTCTTCCTTGATGAAGGCGTGTTGGGCTTTCAGGGGAGCTCGTGTTGCTTCACTACGAGCATGGCAGGTCGCCGCTGACGGCGAAGAGCACTCCTTGGGATCAGGACACGTGTTCGTAAGGTCCCAAGACCCTAAACCCTAAACCCTAAACCCTAAACCGTGTTTAGGGAGCAGGGACTTTTTGTTGGGTCTATTTGGAATGGAGTGTATACGGTCTTGAGGTTATAGAGTGCAGAAGCTTTGTTGTGGGTTTCGATACCTACCTTATCGTGAACATGAGATGCATGTGGTCAGTTGGGGGAGGGGAGGAGGTGGGGTACCCTAAATGGTGAGGACTACGTATATCTTAAAAATCGGTTCCCCTAGAATATAGTATTCTGCTGCATGGTTTCGTAAATCTCTTACACGATAACATGCCACAATACATCTTGCCAGGGCCTATTGCATGATGTTATGCCATTTCATGCCACATCGATGCCGAAGAAGGGCCCATGAATCAGATCCCCACCTGAAGGATAGTGCGGTTGACTATAGTTATAACTGGCTTATACATCCATATTTGGGGTACATATAACCCTTCTGATAGCTACTTATGAAGCCAGCCCGAGACCCTAAACCCTAAACCCTAAACCCTAAACCCCAAACCCTAAACCCTAAACCCTAAACCCTAGTCGGGTGGCAAGAAAACCCTACAACCCCTAAGAACTCAACCCTTCTCGTGGTGGCAGGCCCGAGCTGTAACTTCCGGCTACCGCCAAGCCTGGGGGTTCCTTGGCTTGCTTGGGTTTTGGGTTTAGGGTTTAGGGTTTGGGGTTTAGGGTTTAGGGTTTGGGTTTGGGGTTTAGGGTTTAGGGCTTAGGGTTTAGGGATTAGGGCTTATGGCTTAGGGCTTAGGGCTTAGGGTTTTTCACGGGGACGGATACGTTGTATGGCTTCGTGATCGACTTGGAGGTTCACGGGTGACCATAAGTGCTTATGAGTAGGGATATACGTGGGGTATGTGTGGTGATGACCTTTTTCCGGGTACTAGTAACCCCACTAAGAAGTACCTACCCGTGAACCTTTCAGTAGGGGTTTCATGGTTTTGGGGTTGAGCAGTTTGGCTGTTTAGGGCGCTTTGCGTAACTTAGGATGCTCTATAGCGCCTGGGATGTTTGAGGATGCTTGAGTTATTTCCCTAAGGTTCTCTAGGAACCCACCTTTCTGGAAACCCCCTCCCTTAGGAGCGCCGTAAGCTTCGGGTTTTGTGACCCTAAACCCTAAACCCTAAACCCTAAACCCTAAACCCTAAACCCTAAACCCTAAACCCTAAACCCTAAACCCTAAACCATGCCTCGCCCGCTTATGCCAGTGTGAGAGTCGAAACCCTAAACCAACAAAGAACCTAAACCCTAAACCCTAAACCCGGTTTTTTTTTTGGCGGGGGGGGAGGGAGGGGCTTGTGGAGGGTATGGCCGATCAGAGGCCTGTGATGCCCCCCAGCATCTTTAGGGTCTTTAGGGGTTTGGGATGTTCCAGCTTATGCCAACAGCTCCTTAACACAGGGATCATAATAGGGGGGTACTATAGTCTCTATCAAGGACTGTTACCAGTAGTAGAAGTGGGGGGATACTATAATCTCTATTAAGGACTGTTCCCAGTAGTAGACGGGGGGGCACTATAATCTCTATTACGGACTGTTAGTAGAAGGGGGAACAACCCAAACTGGGGGTTGCAAGGGTGCGGCACTCTCCGGGTACTGCAGAGAGAGCTTGCGACATGTGGCTGGAACGTTCAAGAAGCCGGTGGATCAAGAACCTGCTTCGAGATTAGTGCAGACCTTGCAAGGTGGGGGTTTTTGGGGTTTAGGGTTTAGGGTTTGGAATCCGAGTCTGCGAGAGAAAGAGAGAGAGGGATTAGGGTTTAGGGTTTAGGGTTTAGGGTTTAGGGTTTAGGGTTTAGGGTTTGGGGGGCAAAAAGCAGTTGGGTTTTGAAGGTTCAGCGCTAAAAAGTCGTGCCAGCGACCAACCTCTCAGGTGTGCGACGTGACCGGATACATCCGCAACGAAGAAGGCAGGATCGGCAGTGCTTCCCAAACTTCTACATCCTCCTCGGGAATTAGTTTTTTATTTTTGTTCATATAAAACCCAAGAGGATTTCAAACATATTATTTTTATTGAGGTTCCAAGGGGAGTATAGACTTCGACTGCCAGCAAATACTAAAAAAGTCATGGTTAGACGAACAAAGCACAACCATAGAAGTTGCGGCAGAGTTCTACTAGAACTTCTCGCAAAGCCTTTTGATCACCTAGACTTGGCATAGTACAGAATTTTGGAACTACTTTGTAAGTTTGTAAGTAGCTCGATCGTTCTTCCATTCTGGCCAACGAGAAAATACACTTTGTGTCAGGTGTGCCCCTTGCAAAAGCCCCGCCCCCTAAACCCTAAACTCCTAAACCCTAAACCACATTTCCTGCGAGGTCGTTTGCTACTGCGGCCGGCACCACTTCCACATAGCAGCCCATCTGCATCACCCACGTGCGGCAGAAGCATATGGAGTACAGCACCCTTGAAGGTAGGAAGTCTTCCCAAAATAGGGGCATGTTGGGGTAGATGACTATACGTGGGGATTCTTTGTTTTGGGACATACCCATCTCGAGCAAGTGTCGCAAGGCATCCGACGTGACCGCCCAGCGAGCATCGAGGTCCGAGGGATGTGCTCGGTTGCGGTGCAGTTGATCTTGCTCGTGCTCTTTTGGGACCCGTTGTTTAAGCTATTCTTATTGATTTCCGCAATCAAGTGGCCACAGTAATACCTGAAGAGTTGGGGAGCAGGTGAACGGTGAGAAGCTTTCATTGGAACCTGCGGAGTTGAACCACTTGGTGCTGAACTCAGTCGTTTAATCCCCTCCCCCCAAAATATTAGCCCCCCCTACCCCCTAATATTTAAAACCCCCTAATATACTATAAGATAACTATAATGGGGGGTACTGAATATTGGGGGGGTAGGGGGGCTTTATATTAGGGGGAGGGTATTCTCTTGCTATGGCCCAGTGCTCCACAGCGCCGTTGCTGAGGACTGTGTCCTCTTCGGCCACTCGACGACCTTCTACGTCTTCTTGCAAAAGGTATCTCCAGAGGCTGGTTTGTGAGTGCGCTTGTGATCTGAACCCTAAACCCTAAACCCTAAACCCTAAACCCTAAACCCTAAAGCAGAAACCCTAAACCCTAAACCCTAAACCCTAAACCCTAAACCGTGACTGGGCTTTCGTATACCCTTGTGGTCACGCATTTTCGCCGGCATGGGTCGGCCGCACTCCGTTTCATCCTCAGATGCCTTGACGCAGGAGCTCAGCGAAAAGCTGCGTGCGCCTTATGAGATTGACAAGGACTCAAACCACCCTTGGCCTCCTGAGCCAGTACCAGAAAACACACTCACTCTTGGTCGCTGCTAGGAGGAGTGGGAGGTCGGCCTCACCCAGAAGGTCGTCAACAGCATCCTGGGTGAGGCGCACGGAACTGCGGGTGCGCGGCGAACCTGGCAGTTGTTGGTCGTTCAGGGTTTAGGGTTTATAGGGTTTATAGGGTTTACAGGGTTTATAGAGTTTATAGGGTTTATAGGGTTTATAGGGTTTACAGGGTTTATAGGGTTTAGGGCTTATCGGGTTATAGGGTTTAGGGTTTCAGGATGTGGAGGCTGGCAACCTCTGTAGAACCTGGCTGTTTCGAGCCTTGCTCTTCAACAACAACAACAACCCTCCAGTGAGGACCGCGGAACCCCACGCGAACCACCGACAGAGCCTGCAATGCGAGGATGAGCCTGCAAAAACTGACAACGAAGTTGCGCTGCCGAGTTATTGGACGGCTCATTTCCCTGGGTGTGACAACTACAGCCGACACTGCGCAGATTCCCTGCATCGCAGAAGTTGCTGGAGGACGCCTGGCCAGTAAAGTAAAGCACATGAAAGATCGAAAGAAAGCGAGGCTGCGAATTGCAAGTTTCACAGCAGTGCCACGGTGACAAACGTTCTGCGCGTTCAAAAGCAGAAAGGCGCAGATGTTTAACCCCAGACGGGGCCAGTGCGGTACCTTCCCCGTTGAGACACCAATGGAACCTTTGTTCATGGCAACAAGTGGGTGGTTGTCAACATTATGGTCCCTTTTTGGGTCCCCATGACAATACGACACCTAATATTTAGGGTAAAAAGGGATCATCATTTCGACGGCCACCCAAGTAGCATCATGCGACACTGCTGGCAGAGCTGTGAGTACCATGTGTCGGGTCTGCCAACTTGTGCCAAAACAACCACTGCCACAGAATCGGTGAGCCGGTTGTTGTCTGATTCGTCAGATTCGGTATGCCGTCCAGTATCCAGCATCACTGAAGGAAGATCATGGAGCCAATGATCCCAGCACACCTGCTATGCCCTCTTCCACTGCCGACCTTGTATCTCTTGCTGTGGTGATGAGCTCGTCCGTCAATAAAAAACGTCAGGCGGGTGGCTTGCTGGTAAGAGCTTGTAGAGGACCATCGTGAGCTCAGCGCCGTCGCGCTGATGCTCTGTAGGGGCGTCCACAATCCAGTTTGGTGAGGCTTCTCCGGCTCTGTGATATATATGTTCTGGTGGGAATCTTTCATGTCACTGTTGGAACCCCGCTCGGAATGATGGCCGACCCGGGCGTTGCGGGCTGAGTCGTCCAAGGTGTGTATTAGTTGTCATCTTGGTCGGCGTCTCCAGCATGCTGTCGTGTGAAGTGTTTTGCCAAGCAATGATCTCGCACATGGCCTGCTGGTGCGGATGCCGTGGTTTCTAGGTTTTCCTTGACTTCGCACCCTAGTCGAAGTGCTCCCTTCCTGCTCTTCGGCCTGTTCCCGCATCCCCCCCTCTTCCTGCCCAAACGCTTGGCTCCACTAGCTACTTTCCTGCCGGGTGGTACGACGGCATCGTAACGTCTGCGACATGCATCTCGGCACTGCACAGACATGTTTGCATCATAGGCTGGCCCGCTCTCAAATTTCATAAACCGGACGGAAAAGTGCCGCAAAAGGCTGCCTGCCCTCCAGGCTCGCACCGACGACCCCCTAGAACGCGAACTGGCGCGAGTGTATTGCAACCAGCTGCAGAGACTCTTGGCTTCGGATTGGCACTGCTCCGTTTTTGAGTTTCTCAAAAGAACCACCCTGCTGCCTGCAAACAGTGCAGCATCCCAGCTGTCATACTGCTTTCACGTCAGAAAAAGTGAGGTTGTGGACGAGCCTTGTGTATAGAACTTTAGTAAATGGTTAGCACGAGGGCCCTAAGCTTGAAGAACGGTTATGAGTAGCATCGACGATGAGGTATGGGATTTTCGTCGTATGCACCCAAGCCTTCAACATTCGATCCCTCGCCAGGGATCTTGAACGATAATGCATCGACAGCCAGAACGATACCTTTTGATTGGGTTTAGGGTTTAGGGTTTAGTGAAGGGGGTGTATTACTTCAGTTAGCTCGATTGCTTTTGGTTGGATGAGGCCATTCACCAAACCCTCAGCCCAACTCTAGTTCCTCTCGATGTTATGTGTTTTTTCCTGTTTTTTCTGCCTCATTGTTCTTCAAGCAAGCGCTGCCGCAAAGGTCAGAATCGCGACACGCAGGGCACGTTCATGCTCCGCGCCCTTCCGATGCAAAGCATGATGTTGTCACGGCTGCAAAGTCGCCCTAAACTGCCCTAAACCCTAAACCCTAAACCCTGACTGTACTGTAAGGATTGGTACTGTAGGGATTTTGGACTTTGAAGAGAGCAGGGACTGCTGGCTGGACCGTGGGAGTTTGAAAGCGGACTCTGTGTATCACACAAGCTCTCGTGGCCTACCAACCGAGGCCTTGCCGGCCTTGTGCGAGTGTGAGAGTCGAAACCCTGAACGGCTAGACCGACGGAGCTGGCACGATGCATCTCCAATCTGATTGTTTACAACTTGGGTAACTTGGGGGTTTCCCAAAATTTTAGGGACGCCCTTGCGCCGTTCCTACTGTGCAGTAAGGATCTTCGTAAATTTGGGGGGGTCCCCCGATTTCGGGAAATCCTGACTATGGCCGTAATAAACCCTAAACCCCCTAAACCCTAAAACCCCCTAAGCCTTAAGCCCTCAAAGCCTAGTTTACCAGACCGCGCAGCCCTGGTGAGGCTTTCTTGCAGCGCGCAAAGCGGGCCCGGCTGAAAGTGGACGAAGCGAACGACCTGACGGAGTGCATTCGACCCAAGTCAGGACTGGGGTGGTTTTAGGTTTCAGGGTCTTCGGATTTAGGGTTTAGGGTTTAGGGTTTAGGGTTTAGGGTTAGGTTTTGAGGGTTCAGGGTGGTTAGGGTTTAGGGGTTTAGGGGTTGTCTGGCTGATTGGCTCCCGCAGTCCAGATGCAGCAAACAGGGGTTTCGGGGTCGCAGCAGGCCGGATGCAAAAAGGGTTTAGGGGTAAGGGTTTAGGGTTTAGGGTTTAGGGTTTAGGGTTTAGGGTTTAGGGTTTAGGGTTTTAGGGACGGTCAGACCAATAAGATATCTTTCGGGTGCAGGTTTATAGGGTTGAGGGTTCGGGCTTAGCGTCCAAAATGGGCGGAATGCGAAGGAGGCTCCAGCTCATGATAGGCGCATATCCCTGCACACAAAAACCTCCTCTGCCTGCATACTCCGCACATATAACTGCACTTATAACCATATTAGGGCACTTAAGGGGCTTATCAGTGGGTTAGAAGTACAGTTATAGTTATAGCTGATTAATAAGCACCCTCAACCCCAAACCCTAAACCCCAACCCCTAAACCGTAAACCCTAAACCGCAAACCCTAAACCCTAAACCCTAAACCCTAAACCCTAAACCCTAAACCCTAAACCCTAAACCCTAAACCCTAAACCCTAGGTTAATTTTGGCTCAAGACGCCTGTGGGGGTCTCGTCTACACTCGGACTTCGTGCAATTCGTGTGAGAACGTGTCTGCTTTTCTGCCGCGCCTCATGGCGGCTGACTGGAAAGGCCCAACCTAAGGGACCAGGTGCCGCAACCGGCGTCCCGGCCCCCGCTTCGGCGCCGACCGTGGCGGAGCCGCCCGGACTCGGGGATGGGGCAGGTAGCAAGGGGGCCAGCCGCGCTGTCTCCTTTGCGGCCAATCTGACCCCTTTCCCGGGCCCGGCTTGGACAGCCGAGATCCCGGCGAATGGCTTCTTCTTTCCAACGCACTTCCTGGAGGAGTTCTTCGCGATGAACACCAAAGGGAAGCAGGAGGCGGACTCGTTCCGTCTCCGGGACAGCGTTTGGTGCAAGTTGGAGGCAGAGAGTATCCTGAAACCCGGCCGCCGCGGGAACTTGTTCCCGCACTCTGGTGGCCGTGAAAATCGGCAGCAGCTTCGAATCGCAATGATAGCAGCCTTGATGCTCGATCAAATTGATGATATGTATGCAGAAGTGGACACCCTGAGCTCCGCGGGAGCCGAAGGGATTTCTGACTTCCTCAAAGCCGTGCGGGATAACCGCGCGAAGGACATCTCGGGCCCAACGGCTGCCTTCGATGCGATGGTGGCGAAGTTCATGGGATGTCTCAGCCCGGATGGCGACATGCGCCACACGGCTAGCTTCGTCAATGAAGATGGACTGGCCCAGGGCTCTCCTGAGTTTGCTGCGGCGCTCAAGGCCCATGTGGCGGCCAAGCTTGATGAGGAGAAGCGGGCCAAGGTGTCCGCGAGCAAGGATGAGCTGTTCTCCATCATCCAGGCTGAGTACCCCCAGTACATCCAATTCCTCTCAAGCAGCACAACGGAAGGGAAAGAGCAAATCGTGCAGCAGGCGGCGCAGCGCCACGGAGAAATTGGAAGCCCTGAAGAGCCAGAAGGTGGGGAAGGCCTCGGTGCCTGGCATCTCGCAGGAGCTGGCGGGGCTCATGCAGGGCTCCGACCCCGTGGGGCGAGCCTTCTTGATGCATTCGCGAAGATTCGGGAGCAACTGACCGGACCCCGTTCCCTCGGCCGGGAGCTCCAAGCAGACGTCTCCAGGATGGCCACCATGTGGGGAAGTATGCTGTGAAGAGTTTGGACAGCCGCGTGAGGCCCCCGAGTGAGGAGTCCTTGGCGTTGCAGCGCGCGGTTGGGACTCCGCAAGCGTTGCTCACGGGTTCTGAGGCCGCAGCCCTCGAACTCTTCACTCAAACCAAGCAACGGGCCGTTGTACGCAGTGCTCTGGCCACGCTGAAATCTGCCCAGGTGCTTCTTGGGAAGCAGGAGGACCTCAGCGTGCGCGTGATTGAGGTGTATCTGCGTGCCATCACCACGGAGGGCAGGGCGCTGTCGGAGGCGCAAGCCCATGACCTGAGAGGTCTGTGCCCGTGGCTTTTGCGCGGCCGTAGCGCCTGGAGGCTGCGGCGGCCACCAACGCGTCAAGGCGGCGAGCGAGACGTGCGTTCACCCACGTGGAGCAGGCGGGCAACGTCAAGGGACAGGGCAAGGGCGCCTGACTGGAAGGTGGGGGCCTCTTCGTGCCCCCCCCTCGGGGCGGCTCGCGGCGGCGGTGCCGGCCGCTATGGTGTGTCCCTCTCTGAGGGCTGTGCCGAGTGAGGATTTTTGCGAGCGAGGCGAGGGGTGCCAGCGGTCCGAAATCAAAAAACCCCGCAAAAACAGTCACCGGACTTCAAAAACCAAAAGCCAAACAAAAATGGGCTGGCGAGACCCCCTGTGTTAGCCCTTCCGTGGCGGCCGACTACCTCGGCCTGCCGCCCATGTGGTCCTTGAGTAACAGTAGCTTAATGATCAGAAGTCTGCAAAATGTGGACGGTGTCACCGAAGGATCCAACCGACGCCTTGCCGGCCTTGTGCGAGTGTGAGAGTCGAAACCCTAGGTTAATAAGCGCCCTAAGCCTCCAAGCAGGCCTTCACTTCGAGCTGGCTTCACAGGCCCAACTGTGCCTTGTGCCAAGTCGAATATGGGGGTCGGAATACTCAGAATACTCACTACTCATAGTTTCTTGTGGTCCCTTTATGAATGTACTATCATAACTATTAAGT